TGTCCATCACCAACTCCCGGAGCTTGCTCAAACTTGTGTCCATCGAGTCGGCGATGCCATCCAACCATCTCATCCTCTGCATCCCCTTCTTCTCTCCTGCCTTCATTCCTTCCCAGAATCAGGGTCTTTTCCAATGAGTCAGTTCTTTGCATCAGGTTCATAGTAGGTACCCAGCATTTGTTGCCTGAATGAATGAAGGCTGGTTGTTTAACCATAAAAGTGATTGATCCGAATAGAGTACCTCTGATGATTAGACCACGGTGAGCCAGAAGATAAAATTTCTGCCTCCAATTTCTTAGGGTCTTAGGAATGAAAGCATTATGAGAGTAAAGTCAAAACAAGGAATCTGCTAATGCTTCCCACTGCAGGAAGGAGGCATTGTGATGGATTCCTAGGGAACAGATGGACAAAGAAAAATGTTTAAAAACAAAAGCAGGGACATAAGGTCATGAATGGGCCCAAAATAACTCGGGACACTGAATAGATGAATGCAAGCAGTGCATCCTGATGGAAATGAGGCCAAGCTGATAAGCTGAAATAGTCTACCCTCACTGGGCACCCTAACCTCAGTACAGAAAAGAGGCTTTAGGAACCTCAGTATGGAAAAGAGAAGCACATCAGCGTGAGCAGGTGTTGGGTTTCCTCTCATCATCCTCGGTGTATTGCTTTCATTCTTAAGACCCTAGAAAATTAGAAACCACTCCATTTACCAGGAACACACTTGGGAATGCAGATCTGGCAGAAGCTGTTTTTTTCCCGAAGACACTTCATGACTCTGGTTTCCACAACAGCAGGCATGGCTGGCTGTGCCAAGTTGCTGGAGAAGGGCACCTTATCTGCAAAGTCATGAATCCAAATGGGTGGCCATTGGCAAGGGTGGGAGGAAATTGTTTGGTTTAGCCTCTCGGAAGGACCAGAGATTGGGAGCTCTGGGAGGAGGGTGAAGCCGCCTGTCCCTTGTCCCTTGGAACAACCCCAGGGGAAATGTCACTGGGAGCTTCTCAGAGCTACCAGTGGGGGCCGTGTACCAGAGTGTCTTTTTAAAAAAGTCTTCATTGAATTTATTACAATATTGTTCTGTTTTGGTTTTTCAGTCGCAAGGCATGTGTGATCCTAGATCCCTGAACAAGGATGGAACTGGCACCCTCCACATTGGAAGGTGATGACCTAACAAGCGGACCACCAGGGAAGTCCCAAGAGTGTCTTAATAAAGGCTATTTTGTTTGCAGTAACAGAAACTCAAAGCAGCTGAAGCAAAAAAAAGAGGACATCTATGGGAAAGAAGAGCTGGTTCCTGACAGTCCTGACTTTTCTCCTGATGGTCCTGACATCTCAGCTTTGTTCACCCTGTGATTCTCTAACCTACCTTGTTGCCTTTCGATAAGTTCCCCCTCTGTTTAAGTTAGCCACAGGAGTGATACACTGTCCTAGTGGAACCCAAGGGCAGGCCCTAGAACTGGCCTTTCCCAGGAAAGAAACCAGGAACCAGAAAGTCATCAGGAATTAGGGTAACTTTCTGTGTCAGTTGGAATGCTTTCAGCTTTTAAATAACAGAAGCCTTGACGTGGGTAGGTGAAAATGTGCAGCCTCTCCCAGATGAACCCTGGTGTGCAGTTTGCTTTGTCTGATGACATATTGGCAAACATAAGGCAGGTGGAGACTTGAAAAGTGTGCTTTGGGGCTTGGTCTCTCCTGCAGCTCTTGGGAACCTGTGGCTTGGTCTGACCTGCTGGGCAATGAGAGATCACACCAGGCAGAGACAGAAATCCCAGCTGATGCCTTTCTAGACCAGGGTTTCTCATTCTCAGTACTGTTAACATTTTGAATCAAATAAGTCTTTGTTGTGGGGAGCGGTTCTGTGCACTGTGAGATGCTAAGCAGCATCCCTGGCCTCTACCCCCAGATCAGCGGTCCTCACCTTTTTTGGCACCAGGGACCAGTTTCATGGAAGATTCCATGGACTGGGGCAGAGGGATGTTTTCAGGATGATTTCAAGTGCATTATATTTATTGTACACTTTATTTCTATTTTTGTTACATCTTCCCTACATCAGGCATTAGATCCCAGAGGTTGGGGAATACTGCCCTAGATAGTTGCACCCCCCCCATGCCAGTTTAACAACCAAAGTTGTGTCCAGATATTGCCCAATATTCCCTGGGTGACAAAATCGCCCCTGATTGAGAACCACTGCCCTCACCCACTTGCCTGTCAATGACCAGGCATGTACACGAGGCATCCAGAGCCATTCAGCTCCAGCCAGGCCAGCCCAGACCAGTACATGTGTCCTGCTTGACCCATGAAATCATGAGAAATAATGTTCGCCATTGTAAGTCAGCAAGTTGCTCAGATGGTAAAGAATCTGCCTGCAATGCAGGAGACCCAGGTTTAATCTCTGGGTTGGGAAGATCCCCTGGAGAAGGGAATGGAAACCCATTCTAGTGTTCTTGCCCGGAGAATGCCATGGCCAGAGGAGACTGGTGGTCACAAAGAGTCAGACATGACTGAGTGACTAACACTGAGAAGTTTTAAGTGGTCTGCTCCACAGCACACACAGGTACACCTGACTACAGTGACTTAAACAGAGAGGGATTTATTTATTTACACAACAGGATGTACAGAGGCAGGCTGTTCTGTACACTGTGGTGTACAGCACAGTGATGTTACCAGGCTCCCATCCAGGCTTTTCATATCTTTCCACTCCACTGTCCTTGAGGTGGGCTTTGGCCTCTTGCTTGTTTCCTGGTGATTCCCAGCATGGCTGCTCCAGCTCCAAGTCTGAGCTTCAGGAGAGATAAAGCAGACAAGACAAAGGGACAAAGAGAAAAATCTCTCTCCTAGCAAAGTCTTGCCTTTAATTCCAGATGGGAAGCCCCTGCCCAGGACCTTCACTTGCATGTCATTGGCCAGAACTGGGCAACATGGCTGGGTCTAGCTGCAAGGGAAGCTGAGAAATGAAGGTGTTTAACCTTCAGCTTATCCAGTAGAGGGGGGCGATGACTAAGGGGCTTGTGGTGTCCACTGCACTGTCTCTCTGGTGCTCTTGGTTTCTTGTCTCCACTTTTTGTTTATCTATCATGGCTGTTTCATTTCAGACTGGCTTTGTTTCTCCAAACAGTGGAAGAAATGGCCACACCAGCTGGGAACTGCATCAAGACCTCAGCTCCATACCACTAATGACCTGTGTGGTGATCCTGTGCCCTACTTCCAATACCAAGGGTGGAGGTGCTGATTGGCCCAGCTTGGGTTAGAAGTGAAACCTGATTGGTCTGGCTTGGGTAGACTATCTACTGCTCAGCCAACCAGCTGTGGCCAAGAGAGCAGCATTAGCGAGGGCAAGCCTGATTGGGGGGGCAGTGTGCATTCTCAGAGAAAGGGGTATGTGGCTAAGTGATACCCAAAGAACCATCTAGTTCAAGGCGTGAAGAAAGGAAATCACCATCGTGGGTTGCAAAGTTGACATGATAAAATTAACATGTCCTTTGAGAGACCTAAAATACGGTGGAGTCACAGAGGCATCACATTTGACTTCTGCAAATTCAAATATTCATGTTCAACCAAATTAAGTATTTCTTCCCACACACACAATTTGGCTTCCAAACATTAGCCAGCTTCTTAATTACTGTCTAACCCAGTGATCTTTTCTGGTGCTGGAGACTGCTTTTTGGATTTTGGGGATATGGTAAAGTATAAGTAGTATCATATCTTTATGGAAAACTGGGGTTTTCAAGATTACTATTATTATTTTTTAAAAATAATTTAAAACTTCTTTTAAAAAATTATTTTATTTTTTTGGCTGCACTACCATGAGGCATGTGGGATCTTAGTTCCCTGATCAGGGATTGAACCCGTACCCCCTGCCTTGAAAGCATGGAGCCTTACCACTGGATCACCAGGGAATTCCCTTCAAGATTATTTTTAAGGTCATGTGTAAGATGTACCTTCTCACTGTGTAAGATGTACCTTTAGTGGAATATCACACAAATAATTTTTCCTATTTTCTTCTAGTTTTAATCAGTATAAAGAATGCATTTGGTTTTAAAATACAAAAATATTTTTATTATGGCTTTTTAAAATTAAAAAAATTAGTGATATTCATGACTACTGTTGTTCCTCCCATTTTATTTGGTGGTCTTGGCCGTGTAAGAAAGGCAGGGAGAGGACAGATGGCTGCAGAGAGGGCAAAAATGAAAGTCTCTCCAAATACCATGGAAAAAGAGTGTGCCCACCTGGGCAGTGTGTGCCCTTTGGTGATTGGGTAGTTGGCCTGTCCTGATGGCCTCTGGCTTGAACTACTGGGCTTATCCTGCTGTGACAGGATGGGCAGTGTGAGACAGGAGTTAAATACCTGGGTTCCAGACCCAACCCTTGAGTTTCCTAGCTGTGTGACTTTAGATGGGCCATTTAACCTCTCTGGACCTCAGCTTCCTCATTTGTAAAATGGGGAATATAATACTATTTACCTCCCAGGGCTTGGAGGAAGATTAGATGAGAAGGGTTTTGAAAACTGCAGAGTGCCATATACATGTGACTCATTGTTATGGAAGCGATAAAAACAGGTTGGTGTTCAAATTTATTATAAGAAATTCATATATAAATGCACTATACCATGGCCCCAGGAGCCCTTGAGGTTACCTTTCTGTCCTGTGGCCCCAGTAACATGTCCTGGGTTTTCTCAACTGTGGGTTTCTTGGAGCTCCGTGGAGGTGTGACATTTGGGTACGTCACAACCCAGACACATAAGTTTATCTACTGGGCCTAGGAGTCAGAATTTCGAACTAATTCTTCACATGCCTGAGTGCGTTTATATTAGTAGATTGCTGTGAAAAGAGCCCCTCTCCCCACACACTCTGAAAAATTGCTCTGTGCAAAATACCAATCTAGGAAGCAACACACAGGGTAACAATCTTTTAAGTCTTAAAAAAGTGTCTTTGTGATTTGGTGCAGAAGGTTCTCTCTGACTCAGAGAGGAGGATCTCGTGAGACCCGGCGGGATGGTATTTCTAGTTCCTTCCACCAGGCTTAGAAAACAGAAGGCTCTGGCTGGACTTGCTGGACATCTCTTTCTTTAGCATCTCTCTTTCTTGGTCCATCTTTGCAATGGCTTTTCTGGCTCCAACCTTCAACAAGAGCAACAAATGCACAAACCTGACAATTTGAAGGAGATCCCCAAATATACCATTCAAATGGGCTGTTTTGCTCAAAATAAAGTATTTGTAAAAAAGAAATTATATACAGACATAGATGTGTGCAAAAAGAAGCTAAAATAATCCATCATTCTCACACTACTCACAGGTAACCTTATTGACATTCCAGTGTACTCCCTTCCAGATATACAGATAACGCTTTCTCTTATATTTTCTTTCTTTTGTTTTTTGAAACCAGGAGTTTCTGATTATGGGCACATTCATTGGGATGGACTTTCTCTCGAAAAGCTGTTACTAAACTGAATGTCTTGTCTCTAATGTCTTAGGAGGAGAAAATGCAGAATATTCAAGGGGAGTCTGTCTAACCCTATTCTAAGCACTGCCCCTGACTTGGGGGCAGTCATAAGTATGACTCTGTCCCTGGTCTTAGCTGATCAGGCACTTTGGCACTGGCTCAGCTTTTCAGATGGTCACTCCCAGGATTTAGGATTATGGGCTTTATGATGCTACTTACTATCTGAGCTGGTTCTTTGAACTGGGGGACTATGAGGTCATCCCTTTTTATCACATGACCAGCGATAGAAGAGATGAGGGGAGATTTAGACACAGACAGGTGATATGAGCTCTCTGTGTGTGTTGTGTATGAGAGATGATGCTTGGGAGATGATGGCCTCCCAGTTCTCTTTTGAGGCCAGGCTCTCTCTCAGCTCTCAGTATTTATGAGGCACTCACTCTTACATCCTTATAAAAGCCCCCTCCCTCTTTCTGAATAGGTTTCTATTCATTGCAACCCAAGAATCTCTCTCTCACATGGTTCTGTTTATACTGTAGATATGATTGTAATTTGCAAGTTTCTTTCCAACAGGCTTCACATCACCAGCCCTACTTCCTGCAATTTTTTTGACTCCAACTCATGCCCCTGGGGAAAGAGGGCCTGCAGGCCTACAGGTAGTCAAGTTTCAGCTCTGTCTCTGAAAGCATGATCCTTGGTCTCCTCATCTGTCAGATAGGGACCAGAATGTCCTGTCTTCATTGGGGGTTGAGAGGAGGTTCTGGGTGTATTTAAATGGAAGGGGCTGGTAGGACCATCTCTGTAACTCTTTTCACTTTAAGACAGGCTTAAAAATCATGTTCTGTGCCTGACCTATGCCGGTGGCTGCCAGGAACCTTGAAATGTGCTTTGAGATTGCTTTCAAAATCATTGCAGGTTGAGATTGCTTTCAAAATCATTGCAGGAAAACATTTCAGGGTGAGATGGGCTAACATCTCTACAGTAGCCCACAGAGTAAATATTGGTGGGAATGCCCAGATAAAAGGAAAACAGGCAGCAAATGTTGAAAATCTTTTGCCTCTAAACCAGTTTTCCTTTGTATCCCTTTTAGTTTGATTTTCAATAAAATTGGATGGGTTCCCAGGGCCAGTGCCCTGACCTGGTGTGGGGTTGGCTGTTGGAGCAAGAGCCTGGGTGTTTGTTAAAAATGAAGATTCCTTAGTCCCAGGTTCCCCCAAGTCCCAGGTCTGCCATGAGCTTGGGGTGGGAAGCACCACAGAGCAAGCTTTGGTCCACTTTTTTGAGTGATGAGGTCGGGGACAGCAAAAGGCAGAGGGGATGGCTGAACTGGGAAAAGGAAGGGGTGAGGAATGGGAAATGTGAAAATTCAAGTGTGGGCCTGAGAGGTGGGGGGAGCCTGGCTGGGTTTGTCCCGAGCCAGGGACCTCAGGCAGCAACAGGCATTCATCCTGCATGTTTGGAATCACATTCCCTGCTCGTCCTTAGAAGAACAAGACCAGGATAGGAGCCTGTCATTTAAATAAGGACATTTAAATTGGAAATTTGGAAATTAACTGGGAATTAACTCAGGGCATACTGAAGTGGCAGATCTGGGCACAAAGTTCATTCCCACACCACCTCAGGTCTTGGTTTTCAACATCCCTACTTCAGGGAGGCCTCTCCTGGTCCTTGGACTGGGGAGGGGGATGGAGAGGTCCCTGTGGAAAGTGTTCCTGAAAGTACTGGGTAGGTCAAAAAGTTCATCTGGGTTTTCCCATAACATTTTAATGGTAAAACCCGAATTAACTTTTCATCCAACCCAATATTTGTTTATTTATTTGCCCCAGAATGAAAAGCCATGAAAGACTGGGGGTTTTACATGTTTCTTCACTGATCTAACCCAGCATTTCTCACTTTTTTTTTCACTATCATCCTTTTCCTTAAAGAGCCTTCTTAGACCTTTTTTTCCTAATCGCTTTTGTTGTTTAGCCGCTAAGTCGTGTCCAGCTCTTTTGAGATTCCATGGACTGTAGCCCACCAGGCTCTTCTGTTCATGGGATTTCCCAGGGAACATTGGAGTGGGCTGCCATTTCCTTCTACAGGGGTCTCCCCAGCCCAGGGATCAAATCCGCATCTCTTGCATTGCAGGCAGATTCTTCACCGCCGAGCCGCCTGGGAAGTTCTCACCTCCATGAAATTTGATTATTACAGATAGCACTGTGTGTATTTCTGTGCTTTATACATTAAAAAAGTAGAGTTATGCCCTCTCGGGGGTGATATTGCTGCCACTGAGAATGGGATTGAATCCTAACACCTGAACATTACCTGCCATATCGCAGGCCTCTCAACAAATATTCGTTGAATGAATGAAGGCTGGGATCGTATCTCTTTGTTCATTTGTCTGTCCCCAGTTCCTAGCACAGTATGTGGCCTAGACTAGGTATTCAATTTATTAACTAGAAGATTTTCCCCTTTAGCATATGATTGACAACTATAGAAGACTGTTAGCTGCAGAGGAAAAATAAAATCGATATGAATCCCATAGGATCTTAAAAAGGAAGAATGTGCTAGTTCTGAAGTGTACTAGAGATGGAGACTCTGCTATGAGAAAGGCTGAGGCACTCTGGGAGTCTCTTATGTGAGACTGAGAGCAGACTTTACACGTCCCATCTTCATCAGTGTGGTCCTGGGGACTCCATCCCCTGGACTCCAGGTCCACTCTGGAGGAAGGAGGCGCCCGAGCTACACTTGGCAGGGGACCTGGAGGAAACCTGTCTGTACCAAGGAGCTCTCAGACACCAACTTCTAAGCTGGGGCTGGAGTGCAAGGAAAATGGGAAGCTGGCTCTTTGCTCTCAGCCAAAGCACCATTTGCTCCTATTCTGTTAAAGCCAAAGACAGCGTGAGATGCCAGGGGGTCTCGTATCTCAGAGAAGCACAGTGTTCCCACAACACCTGGGACCCATGTCAATATCCCCTCTGTCATTTTACATCCCCAGGTGGTCCTCAGACAAAACCTAGCTTAGGGCTCTTTCTTCCTCCTCCGCTTCAGTTGTATATGTGAATGAATAAGTGACAAACTTCCCAAAATTTACACTTGGCAGGGTGGCAAAGGTCTCAGATCCATAGGGGTCCCCAGGACGCTCTCTGTCATTTTAATGTCCTTCTCTGGGACAGTAAACATCTTCTGGCCTTAGAACAAGGATGCTGGTTGAGAAGAAGCTTCCATTTTCCAAATATATCCCTCACCTAGAATATCTTTGTTTCTTCTATCCATGGTAATTGGTTGCTTCAGAATGACTGTGGCCTTTTATCAAACTTGAATATGTCTCTTCTCTCTTATTCAACCAAAATGTGTTGAGTTTTCAAGCTTCCTGAGAGCTCGCCTCTACTTTCTGCAAAGTGGGAATGTGGATTGGCTTAATTCCAGTTCCAGGGTTGATTTGTCAATGGCAATGTTTCAACATGCTCAAGATTTCAAAGTCTTAATTCTTGACTTTTAAAAGAATTTTAGAGGATGCTTCTGTGAAATTCAAGAGAAATACCATTGGAAGTGTTATCAGGTTTATTACCTGGAAGTTTATAACCTCAAGGAAGAAAAGCCAGCACTCTCACCTGGGTGTCAGATGTCTCCTACTTAGCAGTGTGAATCTGGATAAATAGTCTCTAAGCCTCAGACACCTCATCTGAGAATTGGGTATAATAACAAAACCTACCCCCCATAGGGTTGTTGTGAAGCTTAAATGAGATACTGCAGGTCCAGTGCTTAGCTCTGTGTGCATAGCACATGCTAAATGCTCAGGACACAACAGACACAGTGTTACTGTCAACTGGGCTTCCTGCTGATGTTCTATGGTTTTCTCTCTTCTCTCCTCTCCTGGCTCACCTGGAAATTTGAGTTCTGCATCTTGTTCTTCACCGCCTCTACAAACATTCGTCTCTTTAACACAGAAAAAATATTGACAAATTTTAGCTTATGTTCTGCTTTGCCTTTTGCATCAAAGAAAACCAGATTTTTCTCAACTTTTGGATGCCACCCATTTGGATGAAATGTTGAGCCTTCCTAGGTGAGGACGTGAGGATGAGAGTCTGCAGAAGAGGGAGTGGGTAAGGATGGGGTGGTGTCTGTAGAATGGGGTGTGGTTTTGGGGCAATGCTACACTGTCCTGCTGAACCTCTTAGAGATCTCTGTCCCAGATTCCAGTAGAGAAGGAGATGGGTCAACCAAGAAGGCTATGAAGGATGCTATATTCTCCTTGGAGGACAGATCTGCTTTAGGTAGAAGCACAGCCTTCCAGGTCACTACAAGAGGCTATACATGTCCAGCAGTTTCCACCCAATGGCCTAGGCATGACAAAAACCCCAGAGGTTAACCTCCCTGGCAGGGACTTTGGGGGCCTGTTGGGAAGCCATCACCAAGAATCTGGAGCTTGCCACTCCTCTGGGGTTTGATTACTATTGCTGCCCTGATCTGCTCAAGGGTCCGCACCTCAGGGACAGTTCATCAAAGAAAGAGCATCCCCAAGACACTGGAGACACCAAAGGGAGAGGGAACTGGGGTGCCTCTTGCAGACCGACATCCTGCAGGTGAACGTGTAGGGGTGTCAGGAGGGGACTTTCTCAGAGAACCCTGGGCGTCAACTGGGGTCACCAACCTGATTCCTACAGGGGCCAGGGAAGTAAAGGAAGTGGCTGAGGTGAGCCAGGGGAGGGGTGGCAGCAAGTCCACGAGCCCAGCGCCTGAGGGGCCTGGAAGATGGAGGCTTGTGATGGTGACTCGTGGGATTGTGGGCCTAGTGTCCTCAGATCTTGCAAGTTTCCCAGAGAAGTTGGAAATCTGAAGTATTCTGTTAAACTGCCCTGCTTTGAAATGTACCCCCCAAAAAATCCCATGAGTCTAATGAAATATGTCTGTGGGCTGCCATCTTGCAACACCTGCTTCAGAACCTCCCTGCCTGGTGTCTAGTTGGTGCTCAGTAAGTGTTGGAGGGGTTGTCAGATAAAATACAGGATTCTCAGTTCAATTTGAATTTCAGAATGAAACCAAAATACTTTTTACTATGAGTATGCCCCCGTGCAATATTTAGGATATATTTATACTTAATAACTGTTTGTTGTTATCTGCAATTAAAATTTAACACATCCTGAGCATGCTGTTTCTGCCCCACCCCCCACCCCAAATCTGGCAATGCTACTGGACATTCATAAAATTCACGGAGGAAGTAAGGCCGTCTTTTGGGACAGGTCATAGGTACTAGTAAGTCTCTTCCATTCTCCCTGAAGGATGCTAACTCTCGAGCCCTTAGAGGATTGTCCATGAAGGCTTATGCGCCCATATCGAACAGATAGTTGTCCTCCAGGCATTTTTCATGGAGCAGGCCTTGAGCCTGCAGCTACTCAATATTTATCACAAACTCAGTTGAGGCAGTCACCATCCAAATTTCCAGATATTATAAAGCAGTGGTATTAAGTCAACAACCTCCTTCCTTCCCATCCCACCCCTACCTTTTTTCCCCTAAACCTTTTATCCAAGCAAAATTCCAAGAGGAACTTGGGGTATAAAATAGATAATGGAGAGCTTCTCTGGTGGGAGAGGTGTGTGTGTGTTGAGAGTCATACCCTTCCCATGGCACCCAAGGGCTCCAGGGAACCCCAGTTTGAACACTGCTCTGAAATATCTTTTTTGGTTACGTCCAATCAGTGGACGGCTGGGCACGGAAGGGCAGAGCCTGGCTCATGTGCACACGCTTTTCCTGGACTCACTGGGATATGATGTCATCAGTCTTTCTCAAGAGCTGTGCACAGCCATGACACAGCTAGCACTGCACTGCTATTCTTAGGGGTGTTGTTCATTACAGCACACAACGTCCTCTCTGGAGGAGAATCCAGAACGGTCTTTGTTCTAGAAACACTTCTGAGGATCACACTCATATCTCATGGACACAGTAAACTCTGGACCATGCTGGGTTTTCCATTTCCCATCAGCTGCCAGAGAGCCCACTGCTGAATGGGGCTCCCCTTTGGCAGGTGAGGGGGTGTTGTAACAGGCACCTTCATCCTTATTTCTGGCTTCATTTTGTACCATCCCCGCCTTCTTCCATCTACTGTACTCCATTCTTAGGGCAGAGGTTTCTGGGATTCCTCACTCCTACCTTCTTCTTTTCTTATGGTTTTGTCTCTATGTCCCCAAATCATTTAATACCCAGGATGGCTGCGCTGCCCTTCTGCCTTCTCTCACTTCCAGATCCTGGGTCTCTCAGGTCCCTTGTGCAGGTTGCAGGCAGGAGAAGGGGCAGGGGCAGGGGCTGGGGTGGGGCAGGGGAAGGGAGTGGAGGAGGGTGGAATGTTTTTTGGGCTGCCCACGCTGGCATTTACAAGCTCTTGCCCTTTGAAAATAAGGTATCTACTTTGTGTCTGGCTGCAAGATCAGAAAGGGTCTCTGTACCTGCCTCTCTTTCTCTTTGAAGGAACAGTTGCAAGCTGCTGACTCTTTGGCATTCCTCTGTTCGAGGTCCTCTAAACGTTCCTAAGTGAAAATATCAGGGGGGCAAGACAGTGTTCCGTGTGTCCCCACCTGTTCCATTTGGGGACACATCTCTGAGGTTGCTAGGAGACGCTGGGATTCACTGGGATTGGTGGGCAGAAGAAGGGGGCAGGTGAGGGTCTTTTTCGTGAGCAATCTTCTATCTGTATGCTGCACCAGCCTAGCCACATTGCCCTACTTCATCACTGTGGGGAGGAGAGCACCACCCACAAGCCCCTCCCATCTCACGCTCCTCCTACACAACATCTACCAATTTCTACCTGTTGGCTAAAAACACACAAGTGGTGCTGAGGAAACCAGGATTTTGAGAATACCCGGGCCCAAGGAAATCCTGTAAAACAGTGAGTTAAATAGAAGAGCGAGGATAACCATGATGGCATGTGAGCATGTATCCTATGTGGTCCCATGTACTAAGGGTTTTGGTTTTGTATGCAACCTCCCATTTCATCCAAGGCTATTGAGTTAGGTGCCATTTTTATTCTCATCTTAAAAAGAAGGGACGTGAGCTAATTAAGCAGAAGGAACTTTAGGGGGCTCCTCCCTGGCTGAGGGAGGGAGCTTCCCAGGAGGCACAGTGGTAAAGAATCTGCCTGCCAATGCAGGAGCCGCCGGTTCGATCCCTGGGTCAGGAAGATTCCCCTGGAGGGAAAAATGCAATCCACTCCAATATTCTTGCCAGGATAATCCCATGGACGGAGGAGCCTGACGGGCTAACAGTCCACGGGGTCGCAAAGAGCGGGACCCGACTGAGCGACTTAATCACACACGCTCGCTCCCTGGGCTGAGGTCTAAGGCAAAGCGGTGGCCACACCCCCTAGTCAGGACTTCATTGGCTGGAGATTTGATTGGCAGGCGAGCTGAACGGGTTTCTGCCAGAAGCAGCCGGTGCCCTTCAGCCTTTCTTAGACTTCAAGCCCTAAGTAAAAGGGTTTGCGTGCTTTTCAAATGGCCACTTCTGTGCATTTAAATTTTTCCTATTGAAAAACCCCAGCATTAGCCCATTCACAAAAGGTATCTGGATCCTTTCTTGGCTGTGACCCGAGTGGTATTCACGGAGGAGAAAAGAGCGTCACAGAAGAGCTGCTGGCTTTGGAAGGACCAGGGAGGGCGTCAGCTGGCAGGAAGCTCCCTGAAAGAAATGCAGGAATCCCCACCCATCCATGGGCTGTCTATTCTTCCCCCTTAGAAACGGGGCTTGCCGTGTGCCAGGCACTGTGGGCATTTTGCCATTTAACCCTCCCGCTGCCCCACTGAGTGGGCCTCTTGTTACCATCTTTGGTTGTTTTGGTTGAGGAGCCTGAGATACAGAGGTCAAGCCACCTGCTCAAGGGTCACTAGGGGCAGGGGCTGGGCTGGGCTGCTGTTTGTTAGACTCCGCCTCTGACCTCTGAACTCTGAGAGACAATGCGGCCTTCTTGAGTGACTTGGACGTGGATTAGTGTGAGCTCAGCCTGGGCCAGGGTCCCTTCTCTCTGCCACGTGGAGAGAGCCACATAATCAGGGTTCTCTGTGAATGCCTAGCCTTTCATATCAAGTCTCATGTTCACAGCCAGAGGTATTAGTGTGGAAATACAACTTTTGATTCTGGAAGGTGCTGCTTAGTGAAGACACGGTCAAACATTTAAGATGACAAACTGCATTTTTGGGGGTGGGCGTGGGGGGTGGATGCCGAAGCTTCAGATGTGTTAATTTCATCTCTCAGTGCTTCAACCCCATGAGCTCAATGAACAGGGTGAACAGTTTCAAAGTTTTGTACAGGAGGCTAAAAATTAAGGCTCCTTGTGAAAATACTAAGTGTAAAACTTATGAAAGAAGAATTCTATTTTCTGTTAATTTCCACTTAAAAACAGTGAAGACATACTCCCTGGAAGGAACTGATGCCAAGACGAATGTATACATGTGCCCTTTAGAATCCAGCAAAACTGTAAAGTTTATTATTTTTTTTTCCTGACAAACAGGGATTTCTGATGACATAGTAATAAGAAGCCTCAAATGCAAACCCGAGTCCTGGAGTGAATACTCCGGGAGCAATGGTGAGAGACATAGGAAGCAGGCACCTGGGTAAGGGAGATGCAGAAGGAAGGGGTGTAGGAAAGTGAAGGTGGGCTGGAGGGGGCAGCAGCTGGGAGGGAATCCTGTTTCTGCAGCTGACAGCCAGGGAGTGGCACCCTCTGTCAACTCAGCCCTCCCCTCTCTCGAGTGGGCTGATGCTCACCAGCTTCCCTTGTGGGGTTGATGGGAGAGATGAAGCCTGTACTGTGTGGAGCAGGTGCCTGCCCTGCCCTGATAAACTAAAGTAAATGATACTTAAAGTGCTCAGTAAATGATATCGTTGGCGATGCCATGATTGTGGTTGTTGTTCATGTACATCTTTCCTCCAATTGTGAATTTCACAAATTTGAAAGCTCCCAGCTCTAGCTCTTCTGGGGACCCTGACACAGTTTCAGCTTGGCCATTTCAGACCCTTCTCTGCTGAAGGATGTCTAGTGCCAAACAGGCTGGCACGTCCCCTGCATTGTGTATGAACGAGGCAGCCCATGAATAATGCATGTGAAGCCTAATTATGTAAATCCTCAGGTTTTCAGTACATGACAATGGCCTTTTTTGGGTCCTTTGCTGTCCCATTCTGTGGTCTGGTGTCTCTGCTCTGGGGCCTGCCAAGCCCTGGGGGTCGGGGGATGCCTCAGGGAGGGGTGAGCTCTCCAGAGGGCACATCAAAGGGAAAGTCAGAACTCTGTCAGTGGCCCAGCTCTCCCTGGCATTGCTTGGTGTGAAAGGAAACTGTCCTCTGCCTGAGGCAGCCCCATAACACACGCAGACTGAGGTCTGTGATGTTTAATTCAGAAGGGTGAGCCCTAGAAACATCACATCCGGGCTCCCTCAGAGCAGGACAGCCACTTTCATTTTTGGGGCTATGAGCCAGAGAGCCTGCTGTCTGGAAACCTCCTGCCTGGAAAGTTTGCAGAATGGGGGGCAGCCTTCTGCAAGGAACTCATCTGACTATCACCTCTTGGTTGAGAAGGACATCCTTCTATGACCTTCTAAGGCCTGGCCTCCTTAGAGCTCATGTAGGCAACACACTCACACACAAATACACACACATACAAACACACAGCACATACTCACAGGCACACACACAAGCATGCGTGCAAAAGTACACAGCTCCAAGTTAGAAAGACTAACAGGTACAAGGAGGCAACAAAGAAGGCATGACCTAGGACAAGAGAGATATGGGGCTGGGTAAAGGCTCTACTTGGGACTTCCTTGGTAGCTCAGACAGTAAAGAATCTGTCTGCAATGCAGGAGACCTGGGCTCGATCCCTGAGTCAGGAAGATCCCCTGGAGAAGGAAATGGCAATCTACTCCAGTATTTTTGCCTAGGAAATCCCATGGGCCGAGGAGCCTGGCGGGCTGCAGTCCATGGGCTGCAAACAGTCAGACATGACTGAGCGACTAAAGACTTTGTGAACTACCAGCTACTCTATGAACTTGAACAAGTCTCTTTATTAACTCTTTGAGCCTCAGTTTCCTCATCTGTAAAATGGGGATCATCATGACAACCAGGCAGGGCTACCAGAGGCATTAATAACCCTGATCATGGCTGCATAGCATGAGTGGAGCCCAATGCTCAATGCCTGCAGATATCATGAAGAGATGGGGGTTATGGTGATTTTCCCGTTTGCCTGGTGCCTTCCTGGAGATCTGTTCGACCTTAGGTGAGAGTGAAGGACCATGGAGAGTTTGATCTATTTAGCAGTCGCTGTGCCAGTGCCCAGTGGGGCTAGTGACATGCTGCTGCCAACAGGAGTGGACGGTCATGGGTGTTAACTGCCAAGAAGACCAGAGACCCCACTACTGACTGCAGTGCAGGCACAGGGTTACAGCAAGCTTCTGGAGCTGGTTTTCAGGTGCTGCCCATGCCTGTCTCAATGTGTGTGGGGACTTTTGGCAGCAGACTCTACTGGGTCTGGGGCAGCACTCACTTCAGAGACCACCTGTGCAGTCAGCTGGCCACAGGGAAGAGAGCCGCATCCACCTGCCGAGTCCCAGGCCCTGAGCTGCATGCTTCAGGGCCTGGACAGGTGTACCTGGGCATTGGAAACCGTTTGGTCCTGAGTTCAGACAGTGAGAGCTTGGATAGGAAGGGTTACCTGTGTTGTATTCAATCCTCACAACAATCCTGCAAGGCAGGTGCTCTCATCTCCCATTCACTGATGAGGAAAGTGTGGCTCAGAGAGGGGGACTGATTTGCACAAGATCACACAGTAAGCAGGGGGATTTGACCCCAGGACCCACTGAGTCTTGTGCCATGTGATAGATGAGATAGCAGGATGAGGGGAGGAGGTGGCCTCTTTTAGCTGGATCATCAGCCTGAGTCTCAGTCTCGGTCTCTCAAGTCAATGCTCTCACCAAGTTCATGCCAGGAAGCAATCCCTCCTCCTCATGCCTTTCCTCTGTGGCTCCCACAGCCTTGAATGCACACCTGTCCATCCGTTTGGTGGACAAACTCCAACTCTCCTTTGCAATTCATAACAAATGCCAGCACTTGGAAAATACTCCCTGAATGCTCTAGACTGAGCCAAGTACCCTTCTCTGGATCTGAACACAGCCCTTACCCCACTAAGTCAGACTGAAATCAGCTCTTTACCTGTATGTTCTGCACTGAAAAATATGTCCTTCAAGGACATTCATCTATCTCTATTCACCTGACCATCCATCTACCTGAACACCTACTGATCCATTGATCTGGTGTTCATCCATCCATCCATCCACCTGTCCTTCCATCCACCCATCCATCCATCCATCCACCTGTTCATCCATCCATCCATCCATGTACCAAGTATTTATTTGGTGTCTACTATTCTCTGGGTACTCAGAATAGCAAATTGAAAATCTTCATTCTCAGAGAACTTATTCATCTGTGTATCCCTTGCACCTGGCAGAACAATGAAAGTAAGAACAATAGACACCACTTTAAAAAACTCAGGACATTCGCTAAGCTTATTGTGGCAATTACTTCATGTGGCTTGGAAGTCAAATCATTATGCTGTATACCTTAAACTCAATACAAGTGTCAATTACATCTCAATAAAACTGGCAGAAAAATAGTTATCTGAATAGAAGGAACAAGATAAAATACATGAATTATTAAAAGTTAAAAAAAACACAGACAAGCTAGACTATGAGTCTCAGAGAGCACTGCTTATAGCAGTCAAGACATGGAAGCAGCCTAAATGTCCACCGACAGAGGAATGGATAAAGAAGATGTGGTACATATATACAATGGAATGTTACTCAGCCATAAAAAGAATGAAATAATGCAATTTGCAGCAACATAGATGGACCTAGAAAGTATCATACTAAGTGAAGTAAGGCAGACGAGAAAGGCAAGTATCATATGATATCATTTATATGTGGAGTCTAAAAAACTGATACAAGTGAGCTTATTTATAAAACAGAAACAGACACAGTTTGAAAACAAACTTACAGTTATCAAAGGGAAAAGGTGGAGGGGGGATGAATTAGGCATTTGGAATTAACACATACACACTACCATATATAAAACAGATAATCAACAAAGACCTACTATATAGCACAGAGAATGCTGCTCAATATTCTATAATAACCTATCTGGGAAAAGAATCTGAAAAAGAATGGATACATGTATATGTATAACTGAATCACTTTGCTCTGCACCTGAAACTAACACAAAATTGTAAATCAGCTCTACTCCAACACAAAATTAAAAATTAAATTAAAAAGAAAGAAAGAAAATACAGACAAGCTAGACTCTGAGTCTCAGAGTGGTTAAGAAACCTGCCTGAAGGCACACAGTAAATGGAAGAGCTACAGTCTAAACTTAGGTCTGTCTGATGCTAAAGCTATTCTGCCCCTTTCCTTTGCATCAGTAAATGCATCCTGCACTGCCTAGATCCCACTGGGACCTCAGCTGCCCATTTCTAAAGGGGGCTGATGACTGCTCCAAGCAGGCACCACTCACCTTCTGCTGCCTGATCGCCCTGTTGACCCTCTTCTCCTGGTGCAACCGCTGCTCCATGCGCTCCAAGGCCTCCTTGAGCAGAGCCTTCTCTTCGGTCTCTTTGTAGATGTCATCTTCCAGCTTGGCCACCTGTGACTGGTACATCTGAACCGACACTTTGCTCTGCCTGAGCACATGAGAGAGACAAAGTCTCTTTTCCCCTCATCTTTCTCACTTACCAGCAATGCCCCTGCCTGGGAGATTCTCAAGATACTTCTGTGTATGCCTAACTTAGCAGCTTCATTACAAGTTAGAGAGAATGATGAAGTTTGGGGACTAGAGGGCAGAATAAATAGCTCGTGGGCTGTGTAAGTATGGCATGAAGCTGACACAGGTTATATTACCAGCCCCTCCCAATTTCCCAGGGAGGGTCAGGGAACTGATCCTACTGAAAATAAGATGGAATTATGAAAAGCACACACATGGTGAAATACCAGATACATTCATAAAAGGTGCACCTTACCCCTTAAGAGAGTATAGGGCACTTTAACTGCTGCTTTCTGGCCCAGAGGACTTGCCTCCATCAGACCCTGAGTCATGATCCCGCCTCCCCTGCACACCCCACACCCAGACCTCTGTCCTCCTGTCTTGGTCCAGAGGTCTGCTGCTGCTCTGAGGTTTAGCCTGGAGAATGGAGGTCTGGGCCTTTCTGTGGGGACATGGGCCCTACCTGAGTTGTTCAATGTCTTTCTCGTAGCCTCTCAAAAGCTCCTCTTTTCTCTCCAGCCGGTTCTTGAGTTGGGTGATCTTATCAAACACCATATCAAGGTCTCTTTGTCGAAGCTGGTTGACTCTCTCCCTCTCTTTGGGGGAGAGGTGTTTCATAGACACGTGACCTGACATATCTTTGATGTTCATCAGACTCCCGAGTGTTTTGCTCATATCCATGTACTACGAGAAAGCGTTTCGCAGGTAAGAGGCTTGGCCCACCTCTGCTGGCGGCTGCTTTAATAAGGAGTGTGTGTGCTGTGTTCAGTCACTCAGTGGTGTCTGACTCTCTGCGATCCTATGGACTGTAGCCCGCCAGGCTCCTCTGTCCATGTGATTTCCCAGGCAAGAATACTGGAGTGGGTTGTCATGCCCTCCTCCAGGGGATCTTCCCAACCCAGAGATCAAACCTGCATCTCTTGCACTGGCAGGCAGATTCTTTACCACTGAGCCACCTGGGAAGCCCTTTAATAAGGAGGCAAGTGTCTAATTCTGTTTCATTAATTTTCTGCAATCACAGAGAACACATGCTTTGGAAAGGAGTACAATTGGGGCTTTTAATCCGACTTTCATGTTCCTCGCATCCATTTACGCTATGCCTTTTTGAGAACCAGGGGGAAAATGACAACAGATAGAAACATTTATTCTTGCTACCCAGTTTTCCAAGGAATTCAACTCTGCAATTTCCAACCCATGCTGGGATAGTAAATGGGTCTCGCAGAGCTGTAATAACGACTAAATATCTATGTAGGGTTGATGTTTAGTTAGGCTGTCTGGTGGTTAACACTGCCTGAGGGGGTTGCAGGTTTGGACAGGAGAGGGACTGATGCTGGGTGTACCTACCAGCCTTTCACTGAGATCCAGAGCCTCAGCTGCATCTGTTTTCCCTAATTTATCGGTGGCCATGACGGACCCTGGGCTGGAAAGGCCATTTTGAGGCTGAAATAAAAAAAGAAATGAAAACTCTCTCTTGGTATTCCATCATGATCTTCTACATCCAGAAGAATAACCCAAAGAATAACCGAAGAACCGGAAAGTTACTAAAGAATAACTTGACCGTTGTTGTTGCTCAGTCACTAAGTCATGTCTAACTCTGCAACCTCGTGGACTACAGAGCTCCAGGCTTGCCTGTCCTTCACTGTCTCCTGGAGTCTGCCCAGATTCATGTCCATTGATTCGATGCTGCCCTCCAGCCATCTCATTCTCTGTCGTCCCCTTCTAGCTGTTTTTTATTCCAGTCTGATTCCTCTGTGAACTGCTTTCTTACAGCTCTGTTCCTATCCCTTAAGAGCGTAACTCTTCTTGAAATAACACATCATTAGTCCCGTTCTTTGGTCATTGTATGTCTGCCCTCTAGACCAGTGGTTCTCAACCGGGGATGATCCTGTCCACTCTCCCTTGATCAGGGACATTTAGCAATGCCTGGACACGCTGGTGGTCGTCACGACTGCTACTGATGTTCAGTGGGTGGAGGACAAGGATGCTGCCAAACACCCAGTGACACACAGGATAGTCCCCCAAGCAAAGAGTTACCTGGCTCAAAAAATCAGTAGCACTGAGGCTGAGAAGATAAGCGTCAGAAAAACAGGAATCCTGTTGCCTTTGCTCAACTATTCTTTCTCCTGCTCCTTCTCTCCTTTTAATTATTGCCAGCCTTGGAGGTTTCCTGTTCTGTGGTGTCAGTGGTGGGATGAGGGGTTGTTGCCAGGGAGAAGGCAAATCTGGGAAGCAGGATCAGGAATGGGATCCAGCTGAGCTCCCCACCTGGAGATGGTCCCTCCCTTTCCACTCTCAGAGGAGGGTTTGCTCTTAGCAGGAAAACCAACACCTTTCTTTCTTTCATTCTTTTTTAAAAAATATTGTTTTGATGTGGGTCATTTTTTTTTTGATGCAGATTATTTTTAAAAAGTCTTTATTGAATTTGTTATAATATTGCTTCTGTTTTTATGGGTTTTTTTTTTTTTAAGCCCTGAGGCATGTGGGATCCTATCTCCCCAAAAAAGGAGCAAACACTGCACTTCCTGCATTGGAAGGTGAAGTCTTAACCACTGGACTGCCAGGGAAGTCTCAAAGCAACACATTTCTGAAGATTCACATGTCTAGCAAATGTCTAGAAAAATGAGATTGAATGATTTGAATTATTTCTTCCAACAGCCCAAGGATGGTTTGGATCCAGCTGTGGCAGCAAACCATGCCCAGCAGGTTCTCTGATTAATGTTAACCTGAGCTGTCCACTGTCATGTGTCAATCATATGCCCAATCAAACATCTTCCATCTAACAATCAAATTACTTCTGCAAATCTGGGCAAATCAAACTAAGCCCCCTAAGGAAGGAAGGCTTTCTTGAAGAATACCACTGAAATACTATTTAATAATAATCACAAGTATCATCTATTAAATGCTCACTATGAGCTAGGCACTGGGATAAGCACTTTACATAATTATCTCCTTTAATTTTTCCATCATCATTTTACAGCTGGGAAATGGAGTCCCAGAAAGGTTAAGAGCCCACCAAAGTCACTTGGTTTGCAGAGCTGGGATTAGGACACAGGCAGGTCTCTGATTCTAGAACTTTCGTGTCTTCTTAATCATCATGGCTCCCTTCTGCTACCTTTTCTGTGTTCGGGTTTTTGAGTTTACAGAAAGAAGCAAATTTTAGGCAAACTCATGGAGTACTGTTATATAGCTTGTTGAATATTTTCTGCAGAATATAACATATGATATGAAAAGGAGGGCCCAGAGATTGACCTGGCCAACATCAGTGTGATGATATATCCTGCTATGCACATTTGAAAGCCCCCTTGCTGTTCAAACACTGGGAGGATCTGACTCTGAACCAGTGATGCCAGGGCACCTGGACAGATCTGCCCTCAGGCCCACCCTCACCACACGTCAGTCACTGCAGAGGCAAATTACCACTCGGATCTCTACTTTTGAGAAAGTTGGCAAATCAGGTTTTACATCCAATATTTTCTGGATGTTTTTTTCCATCCCAAGAGTCTTTAAGTCTAGAAATGATTCATCCATGTGGTCCTTATGATCTGAAAAAAGAAAGAATTTAGATTCAAAAGAAAGGTTCAGGAAGAAGTCACTGGATGTAAAAAAAAAAAACAACCACAGCTGCTGTTAACTGGACGCTTACCATGGGCCAGTACTAACCCCCACAATCTGAGGCCCAGAGAGGTGAAATGACTTGTCCAAGGTCACACAGCTAATATGAGGCTGCAGCCTCACATAGCTGAGGCACCAAGGGTGAACCTTTGGCCACAGGTAGGAGGATGAACTTGAACCCAGGCTTCTAGGGCCTGGCTCAGTGCTCCACCCAGCAACAAGCTCTCTTTCTTGAGAGCCCCATTCCCTCTAAACAGGGTATTTATCTAGGAAGTTCCCCAAGGCTGATCCTTGAACACCATCAGTCTATGCAAAAGTTTCCATTGGGCCACAGTGAAATAAGAAAAAGAAGGACAATGTTATGAGTTTTTCATGAAATCCTGTTTATTTAGTATCAAGGCCTGCTCTTGACTTTGAGATTATGTATGCCCATCTCCCCCCCTGCCTCCAACTCATCTTCTTCTTTTTTTTAAAAAATAAACTACATCTTTTCACTTATGAAATGGTAAGAATAGAAGACAATGATCCTGGTCAGCCCCCACAGGGAACCCTGCAGTCTGGGGCCCATGGCTCAGCACAGAAGGGGCCACTAGGAATGAGGGGACTTACTTGAGGAGCCGGCCTTCTCAAGTTCTTTAATCCGCGCACGAAGCTCAGACAAGGCCCTTTTCTGACGCTGGATGACCTCCTCGTGTCGGGACCCTTTGCACTTGGCCCCGAGGTCACTGAAGCACTGCTCCTGCGGCCAGAATGGTGCGGACAGTGGCTTTATTAGGGATCGGAATCTCTCTCTTATGTTTGGAGAAACATGAACAGTTCATGGGTTAGCAGAAACCCTGTCACTTAGTACCCTGGAAGACACCATTAAGGGGCCTCAGCGGAGAAGGAATTTAAATGTTTCATTCCGAATACAAAGTCACATCTAGGAAGATTTCCAACTCTCCTACTGACCTAGCATCACTATAAACAAGAGATCCCCTCTATGCTTCCTCACCATGTTTTCTTTCATTCTTTCTTTCTTTTTTCTAATATTCTTCTAAGTTTGGGTTTCCACTTGTCATTCTATTCTCATCTTTGAACAATCACATCAAATTCACTCCTGCAGGGGGGATTTTTTTGGTTCTTTTTTTTGGTCCAGTCTCTTCTCCGACCAGGGATCAAACTCATGCTCCCGGCAGTGGATGCATGGAGTCTTAACCACTGGACTGCCAGGTAAGTCCTGGAGGGACATTTTTCAGTGCTTAGCTGGTAGTAAGGATGGTGGTCTCATATTTGCTAGGGGTAATTGGATGGATGGGCTCTTGGCTGGTCTAGAGAGACCTAGCAGGTCCTCCCTCGGGTCTCTTCTCCCTTCCAGGCCCCCACCACTCATTCCTTCATTTCATTCAGGCTCTGCTCCCCATCTCCTCCTGCAGAGGCCTCCCTACTGCCTTGTCCCAAAGAGGCCCCCCGCCCCTGTGCTACTGCGCCCCAGTCCTGCCGTATCCTTCCTTGGAGGGCTCACACTCGGTGGACGTTTTGTTAGACGTTGCCTTGTTTATCGCCTCTTTCCTTTTTCAGAATGTGGACCCTGTGAGGAGGGGCTTCTCAGGTGGTGCCAGTGGTAAAGAATCCGCCTGCCAATGCAGGAGGTGTGAGAGGTGTGGATTCGATTCCCTGGGTCGGAAAGATTCCCTGGAGGAGGGCATGGCAACCCACTCCAGTATTCTTACCTGGAGAATCCCTGGACAGAGGAGCCTGGCAAGGCTACAGACTATGGGGTTGCAAAGAGTGGGATACAACTGAGCATGCACGCATGCACGGGTCCTGTGAGAACAGAATTTGTCTCCCATGTAGGCCGAGCTATTCCCAAAGCTCAGCCCTGTGCCCGAACACAGTAGGAGCTCCGTAAATATGGAGCCAGGAGGGGCCTGCCCCAGCGTTCCTGCTGGGACCAAGGTTCAGCCCTGAGAGAAGGGGGTGCTGCACTTAGTAGGGCCTCAGTAGACCCTGATCCTGGCTCCAGCCGGCTTTCAGCCTGCTCCGCTGGTCCACTTCCGAGACTGTTTCTACACCAGCCTCCCTCTCTGAGGGCATATGTTTGCCCTGGGAGTGAACACCAGGAACGCTGTGCATGTGCACACGTGCTGGAGGGTGGAGAGGAGGTGGTGGCTGGTTTTGGGGGTGGGGCAGCCGCCAGGCTCGGTGACAGCATTTCCTCTGCCTGGAGAGCTCGGCTGAGCCCGACGTGACCCTTACTCATGGCCCTTCTGGGAATTTGTTTATTTAGAGAAGATGGAGATTCTTTCTCATACAACTCTTAAGCCCTCTGACCCACTCTGGTTTAGAAAGCAGGAAGTAGATTGAGTGTGGAAGGCTGTTCTGAGAAAGAAAAAAAGCCTTTTTCCTTTCATCTTGCAGCCTCCCTCCCCCATCCTCCTCTAATACGACATCATCATAGAAACTGAAACAGGGCCTCTGGTCAACAATCCTTCTCAGCAAACACAGGACAGTCAGAGGGGGTCTTGTGTGGGCAAGAACCGTGAGCATCCTGCTTTGCGCCCAGCACAGGGTCTGGCATGCAGCAGGTGCCCAATAGTTGCTGAACGTGTGAACGAACACAGGCCAGGTCCTGCACTTAGAGCTTGGATTTCAACAGGAATGAGACCTGCTTCCGGCCCCGGGCGCTCACAGCTGTGGAACCAGCTGCAGCCCCGTGGCTGGGCTGCCCTAGTAAGGAGGAGACGCTGCTGCTATAGAGGTCTCTGGATGGTGACGGGAGCCAGGGCCAGCCGGCGGGGCCCCTGAGCCCTCTCCTTCACGCTGCGTGCGGCCCTGGCTCCCTGCTGTTTGGCAGGGGAAAGGCATCGTTGAGGAAGCAGGCAGGCAAGCCGACACATTTGGCCCTGTTTCCAAAAGAAAGTCCAAAGCGCATTACTGAAACACCCTGGTCTCTAGTTTCATAAAGCAAAGGGAGAAAGGAGATCCCTGGACTCCAGGAAACCCAGGGCCTCGAGGAAGTGCCGCGCCCACGGTCAGCCAACGACAGACCACGGGGAGCACCACCTGCCCGCCACAGGGACAGATGGGAGCCACCGTACAGGACCACGGGCTGAGGCACGGTTCTCCATCGATGACGTGAGCCCTGCGCGCTGCCTGCTGGGACTTCCAGGCATGCGAAGGCCTCCGGGCAGAGATCACCAGGTCAGCCATGGAGCATAAATGGCTTGGCATTTGAGCCCTTGCAGGCCTAATTTAGGATGTCCCCTGGACATCTCAGGATCACAGCTAGGAATCTGTTTCGCATACTTACAAAGCGCTTCCCTGGTGGCTTGGACAGTAAAGAATCTGCCTGCAATGCGGGAGACCTGGGTGTGATCCCTGGGTCCGGAAGATCCCCTGGAGAAGGGCATGGCTACCCACTCCAGTATTCTTGCCTGGAGAATTCCATGAACAGAGGAGACTGGCGGGCTACATTCCATGGAGTTGCAAAGAATTGGACACGACTGAGCGACTAATGCTTTCACTTTCAGAAAGATCTTAACTATACCAACGTGCGGAAGCAGAAACAAATGTTCATCAACAGGTGACTGGCTGGATAAAAGGGACATGATGGAATTTAGTGGAAATGGCCCTGCAAGTCCCCAGCAGAGGGCCAGGGAGTCACAGTTGTCAGAATTGTGACAGTGGCAGCAGCTGCTGCCTTAGGGTGGGGGGTGGGCATCCCTGCTGACAGCAGGAGGAGGGGTGCTGTCCCATGTGCCCACCACTGTCGCCCCAGCCCACACGCTGGGCCTTGGAGATGAAAATTTCCAAATCATTTGGTATATTTGCCCCAAAAATACAATTGCCAGCTTGGGACAAACAAAAGAATGAGGTAGATCTTCACGTACATTTACTTGAAAATATGCCCATGAAACAGTATTATGTGGGAAAAAAGAAATAAGTTGCAGAATAAATATGGTTTGAGACTATATTTTGAAAAAAAATCTATCAAATAAATATATATATATGTAAGCTTGTACATGTTTGTGTGTGTGAGTTAAATTTGTTTCTCAACAATCCCATGATGGGGTGGCTGGCATTATGCCCACTTTCCAGATGAGGGAAGTGGTACCAGGTTGCAGGGTTTCTGAGTGGAGGAGTCAGGATTGGAACCCAGGCAGACGAGCTCCAAGCCTGAACTTCAACTGCTGACTGTATGAGGGTGTGGTGGTTCCTGTGAGGAAGAGGGCTGACGGTACAGGTGCCCAGCTGATGATAACTTTATACATTTCACGTAAGCAAGTCATGCTTTTGGAACTTAGAATGAAGATGTTTTCAAAAGGAAAGAAAGCCTCCATCGGGCTCTTTCTTCGCTTATCTTTCTAGATGCCCTCGGGGACGCGGCAGGTGCTCACCTCTTGGCTGCTCAAGAAAGTGTCAGTGTGGACTGGTTCTATCTGCACCGAAATGTCACACATCTTGGTTGTGTTCCTGGGCTTCTGTTCCTTCTCCTTGTGCAGCTGGAGTTTCTGTTTCTCTTGGGAGGCCCTGGGGGCAGAGAAGATGAGTCACTGAGCAGGAGGGTGGCTGGCTGCACAAGGTTTGGGAACCACAAATTACCTTTGTACTCACAAGCAGAAGTGGGAAAGGGACTCCACGTTTACAGGGAACCGAAATCTTGGAGCCTTCAAGCTCCTGCCCGAGGGTTTCTGGATAATTGAGCTTGCTGGCTAGTGACCAGGGAGGCAGGCACCTCTCCACTCCTGCTTCCTGCACTGGGTCTGCAGGACACCTGCTGTGGCATTTACGGGGCCATGTAGTGCCTGTCTGCTATTTCTAACACCTGGTATATGTCAACCCTTCTATTTCTCATAACAGTCCCATGAGCTAGGGGCTCTCCTTGCCCCATTTTACAGACCAGGAAAGAGACACACGGCAATTTCCCTGTGGTCATGGAGCTTATAGATGAGGGCACCTGGTTTTGAATCCAGGCAGCCCAAGCCTGGAGCCTGTTCTTTTAACCACGATGTGAATCCATCTTGGCCATGAACCATGAAGCAAACAAAGCTATGGGGTACACATGAGACATCAATTTTATTCAAACTTTCTTGGAGAAAACATTAATCTTATGTCAAAATATGGATAAACTATGGATGAAAATGCAAACTCACATATGTTTCATAGACAAACCTGCAGAATAACAACACTATATTTAATTTAAGCTGACCTCTGACACCTCCAGCTTACACTTTTGTTCAGTCAATATTTACATGCCAGGCATTGTGTGAATGATGGGGAGTCAATAGCAGGCAAGGTCTACAAGGGGTCCTCATGGGGAAGGTGGATAATTCAACAGGTGGAGCAGCCTGGCCGGGTGAGAAGTGTTAGATCAGGTGACATGCAGGGGGTGAGGGACCCTGGGCAGAGCCTTGGCTATGTTTGGTGAGGGTGAGTAATGGAGGATTTCCTGGAGGAAGCTGCATTTAAACTGAGACTTCTCTGAAATATTGGGCAGGAATCTCTGAGATGCTCAGAACTGAGCAAAGTTTTAAATGATGAGGTTGTGAAGCAATGAAACATGTCATTCATTCATTCATCTACTAATTCATTCAACTCTTTAACCATCATTGACTGAGCCCTTCCTCTCTCTATGCCAGGCTCCCTGGGTACTTGGGTATGCCTGGGCTCCCCACACCCATTGTGCAGGCCTTCCCACCCACCTGAGCGCCTGCTTGAGGACCTCCAGCTCCTTGTCCTTCTTCTCCACCAGGCTGGTCATCTGTACCATCTTGTCCTTGAGCACGCTCAGCTCACTGCTTTGTTGCTGGACCAGTGCCACGTTCCGCTCCAGTTCTATCTTTTGCTTTTCGTTCAGTTCCCCTGGGGGGGGTGGTACATGCAAGCTGTTGGGGGTGGGGTCTCCTGCCTTGGGTCTCCTAGAGGGCCATAGCAGATCTGCCAGGCCTCCAAGAACCACGAGGCGGTTCACCCTCCAGGAATTCTCAGGGGGCTTCAGTAACAGCCAGGAGGTCTGCTTGCAAAAAAAAACACAACAAAACCAAACAACAAAACCGCCCACCAGCATCACCTTTTGATCAGCACCGGCGCCGCGAGGCAGCCTGTGTGGCGCCCGCCTGGCCCCAGCTGTCAGGGCCTGTGTGCCTGTGGCATTTTAGGGCACCTCAGCAGCCTGCTTCTGCATCTGTTTGCCTAAGGCTTCTGAGCCCTCTGGAGACAGCTCTGCTCACGTGTCTGCCAGAGGCAACAGCCTCCAACGGAGGCCTGGTGGAGACAGGCTGGAGCACACAGCCCAGCCCTCTCCCCGTCCAGGTGGCATTTGGAGGGCTGTGACCACATTGCTCCCCAGCATTCCCATTCCCTGGCAGAATTAAGCTCTGTCCCCCACTGTGCCTGCTGACAGACAGCACGGCAATTCTTTATCTGCTTTCTTCCCTCGCCTGTCTCACTTCCCTTCCACTGCTGTTTTCCCTTGGATCATCTCTCAAGTGAACCACCTGCAGTGGAATTCTGGTCTCGGGGTCTGCTTTCTGGGAAAATCCAAACTAAGACCCCTACATTGTCTCGGATCTTCAGAGCAACCATACAAGGCAGTTCCTAGTAACAGCCCCACATCACAGATGCAGAAACCGAGGTTCACAGAGGTCAAGGGACTTGTCTAAAGTCACCCATCTAATAAATAGCAGATCCAGAACTGGGTCCAATGCCTCCCAATTCTAGAACTAGACAATGCGGCCTTTCTGCCACAAATTATCATATCTTGGAAGGGGAAAATCCCTCTTTGAAAAATCCTGCTATAAAAGTCCTGGGGACATCAACTGGCCCAGACACAGGGAATAAACACAACTGAAGGTCTGGGATGCACAGGGCTTGAGATGGGGACCAGATAAAAGGACTGTTCTTCACCCTCCCTCCACCCCCTCCCAAACCTAATTATACCTCCCGACTCCTGCCCTTTGGCTAAGTGGAAGTTAGGGATGGGAAAGAGGAGGCAGCTCTAATAAGCAAGAAGAAGGGAGGCAGAAATAAGTCTGGGGAGAAGAGGAGCCACGGAGGAATATTCAGCCAGACTTGTGCCCATCCAGAAGAGAAGAGACCTCAGAGCTACCTTGCCCCTGCTCTAGGTGGGTCCTGATGTCGACGTGAGGGACAGGAGGAGCCCCAACAGGCAGATGTGTGGCAAGTGTTTTTGCATCAGAGGCAGGAGAGACCAAGGGTACACTTACTAGGGTCCATAAGCTGGTGGGCACTAGGACTTGTGCTGGCTGGCCTGCCAAGCGAGGGGACCCACGAATGACCTCCAAGCCTTTGCTCCTACAGACAAATCCTTTGTGGTCAACAGAGATTCTTCCCAAAAAAGAAAGCTGCATTTCTACTCAGAGGTGTGGAGCCATGTGAGAACGCTCCCGGTGATCCCACATCAAATGGAATCAGTTCAGTACCCGCAGCGTTTGCTGATCCTGAATTACAAGTGCTGTGATGGCCCAGGACAGCAGGTTGAGGTGGGGTTTAAATGCCCAGCTTTCCAACCCTGAAGACCCATTTCTTTCCTTTCTCAAAGTGGGTTGGGAAATTGAGAGACACAGGCAATTGCACAAACCTCTCAGGTCTGACATTCGGTTATGAGCTTCAGTCAGGTTCTTCCTTAACCTCATGATGATCTCCTGCTGAGACAGGATCTCCTTCTGAGCAGTCAATAAATCCTCTCTGAAATTCACACACACACAAAACAGACCAAGTCAGTTCAGCTCCATCTCTGTGGTGATGCTCCAGTGCCTGGAAGGGGAAAAGCGCAGAGGCAGTGTGATCCTCCATCAGTGATGGTCCAATTTGGGGATGACGCCACCCCCAGCAAGCCCACTCTTGAAAACTTCTCAGAACAAGAATCCGTTTTGATGCACGTTCGTTATAAAGAAATACATGGAGACAGAACAAAGGATCCTGGCTGGGTTTGCTCTGAGGCTGAAATACAACTAATATCAAAAGGACACCTCTTCCTGCTCAACCATCTGTCAGCAGGAACCAATGCTCTCATGGACTTTTGATCTTTGGTGCAAAGAAGAGGGAAGACTATTTTGTGCGTGTGTGGGTTCAGGGATTCTTCGAGGATGAGGAAAAAAAGAGAGAAGAGGACAGTATGGCTTTGTGCTCTCACCAGCTTCTTTTAATTCCTGATGGAGAGAAGAGGGGCCACATGAGTGGGTGGTGTTCAAGTGACCCTTTGGGGATGTATGGGCTCTGGGGGCCCAGAGAACTAAGCAGGGGACACAGGGAGAGTGGATGAGGGCAGGTCCTTGGTCCCACACCCCAGAGGGTGTGTCTTTGGTATCAACAGTGATCAGGGTGGCTGACTGGGAGGTGATGTTTCAAGGGAGGGGCCCAGGGTGATGGTGGGAGAGGCAACTTGAGGGCCTTATGAGCAGGTGTGAGACAGCCCAGCCCCGAGAGAAGCATACTGTGTGTGGTGTGTGTGTGCACACATGTGTGTGTATGTGCATGTGTGTGTTGGGGCAGGAGGAAACACAGTAAAGCAGGTTTAGAGATTGAGTCTCAGTTAAGTTCAGTTCCGTCACTCAGTCATGTCTGACTCTTTGCGACCCCGCGGACTGCAGCACGCCAGGCTTCCCTGTCCGTCACCAACTCCCGGAGTTTACTCAAACTCATGTCCATCGAATTGGTGATGCCATCAAACCATCTCATCCTCTGTCATCCCCTTCTCCTCCTGCCTTCAATCTTTGCCAGCATCAGGGTTTTTTCAAATGAATCAGTTCTTTGCATCCAGTGGCCAAAGTACTGGAGTTTCAGCTTCAGCATCAGTCCTTCCAATGAATATTCAGGACTGATTTCCTTTAGGATGGACTGGTTGGATCTGCCTGCAGTGCAGGAGTCCCCGGTTCGATTCCTGGGTTGCGAAGATCTGCTGGAGAAGGGATAGGCTATGTACTCCAGTATTCTTGGGTTTCCCTTGTGGCTCAGCTGGTAAAAGATCCACCTGCAAGACCTGGGTTCAACCCCTGGGTTGGGAAGATCCCCTGGAGAAGGGAAAGGCTACCCACTCCAGTATTCTGGCCTGGAGAATTCCATGGACTATAGTCCATGGGGTCACAAAGAGTTGGACACGATTGAGTCTCTGGGCAGGTATTAGTGTCACTTCGTTTGTATTCACAGTCTTTTGAAGTATAGCCTCCTCTTATATAGACATTTGAAGGCAGTGTGTGTGCTTATTATGGAACAAAGCAAAATACTTGCAGGCTGCATGTGAAAATCGAAATAAAAAAGATTGGTGATCACTGGGATGGGTCACACACACACACACATGTCTGTCTGTCTGTCTGTCTGTCTGTCTAATCTCCTCGGCCATGACTCTTCCAGCTTGAGGATGAGACCCTGCGTCAAGTGTTCATCGTTAAGGAGGTGAGCCAGAGAAGAACCTGATGCTGATTCTTCTCCAGGTCATGGCTACTGTTTTCTTTACAGCGTTTAGGAGGAGACATGAACTTTACAGGAGCAGACAGACTTTTCAGAACATGGAGCTTGAGAGTCTGAGTATCATTGCCGTCTTGGGGTAAAACCTGTGTGACATTAGACTTTGGTAATTGGTATTTGGGGCAGGGCTCAGGCTGTGGCTTGCCTTCTTTGAGAAACTTTCTGAATCCTTTCTCTGCATCATGTTACCGCCTTCTACTTTGTATGATGCTTGGCGGTGTCTTTCAGGATCTTCCCCATCCATGGGTTTTGTTTCTCTGGAAACTGTCAGCTCTTTGCGGGTTGGGAAGATCTCCTGGAGAAGGGAATGGCTACCCACTCCAGTATTCTTGCTTGAAGAATTCCATGGACAGAGGAGCCTGGTGGGCTGCAGTCCATGGGGTCACACAGAGTTGGACACAACTGAGTGATATCACTTAACTTCTTTGAGGCTCCAGGTATGGACCTTTGGGTTGGGAGGGATCTTCAAGGTTGTTTAGTCTAACCTCTTAACTTTTAACCCTCTCCGGGACCCCACTCCACCAAGTGGTTTCCACTGTTTTGAAACCCAAAAATAGGCTTGCCTTGGTCAGGTCTTTGCGGAAAATAGTAGTAGCATTAGCTGGCATTCATGTGCCTCCTTATCTCACAAGCAGAGGGGCGGGGTGGAGGTGGGTGGGGGCGCTGAGGCACAGGAGGGGATGTGACCTGCCTGGGGCTACATACCTGGAGAGTGTTGAGTTTAGGATTTGAACTTAGATCTACCCAGATCTTTCCATGACACCAGCCTGACTAAAGGGACTGAGAAACTCAACCAGCAGCAAGGACTGCACAGATTCAACTCCTGTCAGATTCTGACAACGTGACCAGAAGCAGGAGTCCCGTCCAGTACTCACATCAGGTGGTCGCACATTGCATCTTTGGAGCTGCTCTCCCCTAGAGGTGCTGCTGCGGGGTCCGGCTGTGCATCCCCCTCCTGGGCTGAATCAGAGGGACACGTGAACGTCATCACAGCCCTCAGGCAAGGGATAGTTTCCTTCCCCTTTGCTTATCAACAGAGTAAACCTTCTCAACTGACAATCCTTCCCTCCACCCCCAGCCCTCTCCACCTAGTGAGAACCACCATGAGTTCTGTATCACAGGCTGCCCTTCCCCTGTGCATGAGCTCATGACATCTTTCCAGCTGCTGTCTGAGGTGGTGGTGCTTCCCAGGTAGCTCAGTGGTAAAGAATCTGCCTGCCAATGCAGGAGACATGGGTTTGATCCCTGAGTCGGGAAGATCCCCTGGAAGAGGAAATGGCAACCCACTCCAATATTCTTGCCTGGGAAATCTCATATACAGAGGAGCCTGGTGGGCTACAGTCCATGGGGTCTCAAAGAGTCGGACATAACTTAGTGACTGAATATGCATGCACTCTCTAAGGCAGGGATAACAGATGCCACTGGGGGCTTCCCAGGTGGCTCAGTGATAAAGAATCCACCTGCCAATGCAGGAGACACAGGCTCAATCCCTGGGTCAGGAAGATTCCCTGGAGGAGGGCATGACAAGCCACTCCAGTATTCTTGCCTGGAGAATCCCACGGACAGAGGAGCCTGGTGGGCTACAATCCATAGAGTCATAAACAGTCGGACACAACTGAAGCGATTAACACCCACTGATACCACTGACAGCTGAGGAAGTGAGCATGGCACTGGTGGGACCTGCTGGTAACCACCCAGCTAAGGGGTGAGATGTAGAGCCTTAACCCCTCCCTGGGTCGCACCTCCCGCCCCATTTCCTGCCCTCCGCTGTGCTCACCTCCCAGTTACTCCTCAGCCCACTGCCTTCCGGTATCCGCCACCGCCCCCATCCTCAGTTCACTCGCTCGTTTATTTGTTCAACAGATGCTTATGGAGCATCTGCTTGATGGCAGGCACGGATCTAAGTCTGGGGTGGCAAAAAAGCGTCCCAGCTGGAACACCCTCCCTTTGACCTGGACCTGGGCTGGGAACCGAGTCCTGTCCCCAGCTCTTGCTGTGGTGCCCTGTTCATGCTGGGTCCCCTGGCAGGGCAGTGACCTGGCAAACTGTAGGGATGCTGCATGGTGGTCCACAGCCGAACCTCCAGTGTCTAGAATGAGCTCAGGACACAAGAGCTGCTAAGCTAAGTGTGTTGAATGAACGTATCCATGAGGTGAGCCCTGACAGCTTGTCAGCTGGCTTGAGACTAGGACCGTGGTTCTCAACCAGGAGTGAGTTTACCCCTAAGGGGACATTCAGCCATGTCTGGAGACATTTTTGGCTGTTACACTGGAGTGGGGCATGGGCATGCAGTGGGTAGAGGCCAGGGACACTGCTCAACACCCTAAGTGCATTGGAAAGTCCCCAACAAAGAGCGCTCTAGCCCACGTGCGTGCTCAGTCACTCAGTTGTGTCCCACTCTTTGCAGCCCCGTGGACTGTAGCCCCCCAGGCTCCTCTGTCCATGGGATTTCCCAGGCAAGAATACTGGAGTGGGTTGCCAGGTCCTTCTGCAGGGGATCTTCCCGATTCAGGGATTGAACCCACATCTCCTGCATTGGCAGGCGGATTCCTTACTGTTGACACACCAGGGAAGCCGATCTAGCCCACGTGGCAACATTAACACTCAGGATGAGAAACCCGAGGCCGAGGCCTCTACTTCCAGAACTCTTGTTCAAGAGCTCACTGTCTTTAGTTTTATCTGTCACCCCTGGTCATTCAGGGCAAATAAATGCTCACAACTCGGAGTTCTTTCTTCAGGCTTTTTTTTTTTTTTTTAAAGAGATAAACCCCAGCTGGTTGTGAAAGAGCATTAGACAGCGCCGCAAACTGCTGATGGCAGAGAGACGCCTTCGAAAGGGCCCTGCCTAGGATGCTTCCACGGGGAAAGGACGATTCCCGTCGTGTGTTCTGACACCCCTCACAGCCCTGGCAGCCTGTGCTGCTCCCTGGCTGACCAGCTCGGCACAAAGCCTGTCTCTGTTCATCGTGTTACTTCTGCTGAACCTGGGCCTGGAGGGCACCTGACCTTGCAGTGCGACAAGGACAGGGGCCTCCAGACAACAGAGGGGCTTTTTAAATGAGATGCAGACTTTTTCTTGTCCATCAGCCTGGAGGGACCCACAGGGTCATCAGAACCCACCCTGAACACCAAGGTTCCCTCGGCGTCTCTTTGGACCGACCTGGGTCACTCTCCTTCAGCGTGGCGATCTCTCCTTCTATCTTTCTGTGGTGTTCGGTCACTTTCTGGAGTCTTTCCTCAAGGTTCACGATCGTCTGGGAGTGCTGCTTGATTTGTTCCTTGTATTCCATGATTTGTTTTTCAAATTCGTGCTTCTGTGATTCTTGCTCCTCTTGGAGAGCCATTACTGTGTGCTTTTGCAGCTGCATCCGCTCCTCCATCATGATCTGGGGAAACAGACATGGTTCATGTGATCTTGGGAGCTGGGTAAGATGATGGAGAAAAGGAACAACATGGCCCCTCTGCACGCACTGGCACTGAGCTCTGCCTGCCCCAGGACCTTTGCACGTGCTGTTCCCTCTGCCCATACACTCCTCCCCCAGCTCCTCATGAGGCTGATTCCAAGTGTGCTGGGCTGCAGCTCCAATGTCACCTCCTCTGAGAGGCCCTCCTGGACTGCCTATCTAAAGGAGACATCATCCTGTTTTATTTTCCCTGAGGTGCTTATTACCATGTGAACCATCTCATGTCTTTATTTCTCGCTCCTACTAGAATGGAAGCTCCATGAGGGCAGAAACTTACCCTTTACCTACCAATATGCCCACAGCATCAGAGCCCAGATCCCTGCCACAGCATCTAGACCTAGATGCTCAATAAGTACTGGTTGAGTTAATGAGTGAACAACTTTATAAGAAAAAAGTGAATAAATCTGTATTTCTTAAAAATAAAAGTTACCAGTGGCCTCCTGATGGTGAGTCACACCCCTTCCCATAACCACCCTCCCTGCTTGCACACCTGAGTCTCAGTGCTGAGTCTCCTTGCTCCCCTCCCGCTCCCCTACCCCTTCCTCTGCTCTCAGGATGAGGTCATTCTCCTGCCACCTGGATGACATCATTCTCCTGCTCTCAGGATGATGTCATTCTCTCGCTCCCCATTCCCTGTTAACACGATGGGTCTCTGATCTCCTCCGGATGCAGAAATTCTCTGCCCCAGATGCTCACACATGCCCCCTCCTTCAACCATCACTCCGCGGAGGCTCCCCTCCAACTTTAGTCTTCATGTCTCACTTCCTGCCCCAAATCTAACGTGCCGCCAAAAGCTTGGGCAACTTTTGAACTTTGATATCCCTCCCCTCGGTTCAGTCTGAATGCTTTATCTTCTCCAGGACAGTCCCTCTCCCACAAGAGACCTGCCCCCATCCCCAAGCCCAACCTCTATCTTTACAGCAACCCCAAGTGCCATCACTGCCTGGCTCCATGGTGCCTGGCTGGAAGCTGGCCTGCCTCCTTGGCTCCTCCCCGTCCTCGGCACTCCTGTCCTGTCCACCAGTTAACAAGTCCTGCCATTTCTCTGGTAACTCCCTCCATAGCAACTCCTTTTCCCCACTCCTCTGCTACCCCGAGTGTCCAGGTCCTGTGATTCAGGACCTTGGGAACGGCCACCATGTGCCACACCCCAGAGCTTTTGTCTCCAAGCCCAGTCCCTCTCGTCTTCCCTCTGTGGTACTTCCGCCGGGTCAGTCCTCATTACGTCCTTGTCCACAGACCTGTCAGTTAAATGTGTGAATGACAGGTCATTGCAATATTGAGCCCTGATGGTGAAGGGCCTTGAATGTCAAGCTAAAATTGAAAAATTCTGTCTTAAATTCTATGGAATCATCACTGGCCCCTAAATTCCAGGGCTGCTCAGTGTGATCCTGGGAGTAGCCTGAATTATATCATCTTAGATGGCCACGGAGAGAGGGTGTCATAGCTTCTGTCTACCTTTCATACTAAATTAATGCTTCTCAACAGGGGGTGATTCCCCCCACCTCCCCCCACACTGGGGGAGATTTGGCAAAGTCAGAAGACATTTTTGGTTGTCACAGCTGAGGGTAGGGTACCACTGGCATCTTCTGGGTGGAGCTCAGTGGGTGCTGCTGCACATCCTGTAATGCACAGGACAGCCCCTCCTGCCCCCCGTGAGAATTACCCCCCCAGCACATCAACAGTACGGAGGCTGAGAACCCCTACTCTAAACCACACATGGCATCGTGATCGTGCGTTGAAGGGAAAATTCTCCTGTCCCCAGAAGGCACTGACTTACCATTTTCGTCTTTGCAGTTTCCAGTTCAGCTAGTGTTTCATTTAATTTCATGGTGAGGTTCTCTGCTTTCAGATTTTCAGCCGTCTTTGTTTTCTGAGCCTTTTCTAGCATGGCCAGTGCATCATTTAATTTATTATTTAAAATGTCTTCTTTTTGCATTTTTAAATCCATTTCCTAGACAAACAGCAAACATCAAATGAACAGAAATTCAGGTGTAAATATTTACCCCAGCTTCCCCCTTCCCCTGTTTTCAGAGAGGAGGGGACCTCTGTTCTGTTATTGTTCTGTTGATCCTTTTAAAGTCCAAAGTCCATGCTTTCTCTGCAAGGTTCCAATTATTACAGAACTCAAATTCAGCTGAGATCTATCTCCTTGGGATTTCTGGGCCCTGAGTTCAGTTCTGTCACCTGGAGCTCATTGAACAAGTTTTATTTTTCTCTTATGAGACAGCCCTTTAAATATTTGAGAAGGCTGTCATGTCTCTCCCTAAATCTGTCTTCCAGGATAAATGTGCCGAGCTCTTCACCCCCTAGTCATAGGACCTGTGTTCAGGACATTCCTCCAACTTACTCTGTGACTTAGGCCCTCGGATGACCTCCCCTGGGGACCCTGGAAAGGTTAGACTCCAGTCGCTGTGTCCCCAACATCTTCCACCTTCTTCTCGGACCCATTCTTTCCATCTTTGTCATAATTCTACTCTCTTTCTTGAGTCCCTCCTCAAACAGTGCAGAAAGTGGGCTTTGTGACAGGCACTGTGCTGGGGCTGGATGGACTTCATCTATTTATTTGACTTCATTTTTTAGAGCGGTTTTAGGTTCACAGTAAAACTGAGCAGAAAATTCAGAAAGTTTTCCTTTAACTCCCACCCCCGCCAGGGGCACAGCCTCTCTTACCATCAACATCCCTCATCGGATCATCTCATTTGTGATAACTGATGAACCTACACGGACACATCATTAGCACCTAAAGTTCATAGTTTACATAAGGGTTCAACTCGGTGGTGTACACTCTATGGATCTGGACAAATGTATGATAACATGTATCCACCATTATGGAATCACACAGAATAGTTTCCCTGTCCTAAAAACCCTATGTGTTCCATCTATTCATCATCCTCTCACCCCTTACCAATCCCTGATCTTTTTATTATTGCCCTAGTTTCACCTTTTCCAGAATGACACATAGTCGGAACCATACTGCATGTAACCTACTCATGAACAATTAATCCTACCTGAAACGTATCCAGGCTTTCCTAGTGGCTCAGATGGTAAAGAATTTGCCTGCAGTGCGGGAGGCCTGGGTTCAACCCCTTAGTTGGACAGATCCCCTGGAGGAGGACATGGCAACCTACTCCAGTATTCTTGCCTGGAGAATCTCCGTGGACAGAAGAGCCTGGTGGGCTACAGTCCACAGGATGGAAAAGAGTTGGAAATGACTGAATGACTAAGCACAGCACAGCACAAAACATATTCTCGAGGTGCAGTGCTAGGCATTCCCAGACTCTGTTGGTGGCAGTGAAAACTGGTATGACCATTCTGAGAGGGTCACTTGGGAACCTGTTTCACGAGCCTAAAAATGTTCATATCCTGTGACCCACTGATTCCACTTTTGGAGATGTATCCTAAGGACATAACCCCACATGTGCACAAAGCCCCTGACACAGAGCTGCTCAGCTAAGCATTTTTCACTCCACTGAAAAGTGAGAGACACCCCCGTGCCCAAGGGTGTGTCATGAATGAATCAAGGTTCACCCAACACAGTGCAAACCCAAGTCATCCTTTATTTATTTATTTATTTATTTTGCAGACTTGAAGGATTTTTTTTTTTTGGCTTTGATTATGTGTTGACTATTTTTTTTCCATTTATTTTTATTAGTTGGAGGCTAATTAATCTACAATATTGTAGTGGTTTTTGTCATACATTGACATGAATCAGCCATGGATTTACATGTATTCCCCATCCCGATCCCCCCTCCCACCTCCCTCTCCACCCGATTCCTCTGGGTCTTCCCAGTGCACCAGGCCCGAGCACTTGTCTCATGCATCCAGCCTGGGCTGGTGATCTGTGTCACCCTAGATAATATACATGTTTTGATGCTGTTCTCTCGAAACATCCCATCCTCGCCTTCTCCCACAGAGTCCAAAAGTCTGTTCTGTACATCTGTGTCTCTTTTTTCTGTTTTCCACATAGGGTTATCGTTCCCATCTTTCTAAATTCCATATATATGCATTAGTATACTGTATTGGTCTTTATCTTTCTGGCTTACTTCACTCTGTATAATGGGCTCCAGTTTCATCCATCTCATTAGAACTGATTCAAATGAATTCTTTTTAATGGCTGAGTAATATTCCATGGTGTATATGTACAACAGCTTCCTTATCCATTCGTCTGCTGATGGGCATCTAGGTTGCTTCCATGTCCTGGCTATTATAAACAGTGCTGCGATGAACATTGGGGTGCATGTGTCTCCTTCAGATCTGGTTTCCTCAGTGTGTATGCCCAGAAGTGGGATTGCTGGATCATATGGCAGTTCTAATTCCAGTTTTTAAAGAAATCTCCACACTGTTATCCATAGTGGCTGTATTAGTTTGCATTCCCACCAACAGTGTAAGAAGGTTCCCTTTTCTCCATACCCTCTCCAGCATTTATTGCTTGTAGACTTTTGGATAGCAGCCATCCTGACTGGCGTGTAATGGTACCTCATTGTGGTTTTGATTTGCATTTCTCTGATAATGAGTGATGTTGAGCATCTTTTCATGTGTTTGTTAGCCATCTGTATGTCTTCTTTGGAGAAATGTCTGTTTAGTTCTTTGGCCCATTTTTTGATTGGGTCATTTATTTTTCTGGAATTGAGCTGCAGGAGTTGCTTGTATATTTTTGAGATTAATCCTTTGTCTGTTGCTTCGTTTGCTATTATTTTCTCCCAATCTGAGGGCTGTCTTTTCACCTTGCTTATAGTTTCCTTTGTTGTGCAAAAGCTTTTAAGTTTAATTAGGTCCCATTTGTTTATTTTTGCTTTTGTTTCCAATATTCTGGGAGGTGGGTCATAGAGGATCCTGCTGTGATTTATGTCGGAGAGTGTTTTGCCTATGTTCTCCTCTAGGAGTTTTATAGTTTCTGGTCTTACATTTAGATCTTTAATCCATTTTGAGTTTATTTTTGTGTATGGTGTTAGAAAGTGTTCTAGTTTCATTCTTTTACAAGTGGTTGACCAGTTTTCCCAGCACTACTTTTTAAAGAGGTTGTCTTTTTTCCATTGTATATTCTTGCCTCCTTTGTTGAAGATAAGGTGTCCATAGGTTCATGGATTTATCTCTGGGCTTTCTATTCTGTTCCAAGTCATCCTTTACTGGCATGTTGTAGAAGAAAGTTCAATGATATGTGGACATACTTGTAATATATTAAGTCAAAACGCCTGCACAGTGTAACAGTGTAAATAACTTTGTAACAAATCGGTATTTGTCCATGTCTGTCATAGTGATCATCACAAAGCTGGTATGGAAGGAATCACATCAAAATGTCACTAGTGGACTTCTTTGCTGGTCCAGCGGTTAAGAATCTGTGCTTTCAACACAGGGAGTGTGGGTTCAATTTCTGGTCAGGGAACTATCATCTCACACACCGCATGGCGGGGCCAAAAGAAAAAATAAAATAATTCCATTACTGGTAACTCTGTTCGTTGGACTCATGAATGATTTTTCCATGCTTCTTAAAATTTCTAGAGCAAACAGTTACTCCTTTTCTTTTTTTAATTTATTATTAATTTTTTGGCTGTGCCACACAATATGTGGGATCTTAGTTCCTCCACCAGGGACTGAACCCACGCACCCTGCGTTGGAAGCATGGAGTCTTAACCACTGGACCGCCAGGGAGATCCCAGGTGCTCCTTTTATAACTGGGAAATGAAACTGATTTTTTTTTTTTTTGAAACAAAACAGAGCATGGTTCTCACCATGTGATGCCTGTGAGCCTTGCCTGGGAGAAGCTTCATTCTCTCCGTACCATCACTGAACTCTGTCTGTTCTTATTTGGGGTCGTGATGTGGTCGTTACTGTTGAGAAGTCCCAGTGCGGACAGTGTGTGGACCTGGCTGGAGGAGGTGCTTCCTGGGTGTCAGCGGCAGGCACGACACAAAGCAGAAGCACTCCAGCTGTCCCCGTAGAATCCATAAAGAACTGAGATGGTTTATCTGATGGGCCATGAAGTTGCCTCAGGGCGGAACACGCTGCCTGGCATCTCTGCTCCTTGCCAGCTACTCAGCAGCTTACTCAAGTTCAGGGTTCCAGCAGGTCTGAATTTATTTTTCTCCCCTCTCTCCTGTTTCTCTCATACAAATCCTGTTTTCACCTGCAGAGATGAAATCAGTTTTTCAAATGCTCTCCTGTGTGTGCAAGTAAAACGGCATGCAAATAAGCCTCTCTATGTCTGACTGGGTCTTTGACCTTGAACTTCCTTGGTCTATCCTGGTGAATGGGCAGTCCCTGGGGTGGAGTCCCATTTCTTAGCATCTGATGTGATGCCATCAGCCTGCCTGCCGGGTTGTCACAAGATCTTGCCCTCTGGTGTCACTGTTGTTTTCTCTAAGGCTGTTGTTGAGGACGCTGTTGGTTGCCTTACAGAGTCCCCTCTGTCATGATCCTGAGGACAGATGTTCTCTGGGTTGAGTACCCAGAATGGTCTAATTTCTAGGAGCACTTGGTCCATTTTGTCTAGTGAACTACACAGCCACTGGGTGTTCACTTTCACTGTGCTAATAAAAACTGTGACCCATTCGTTGATTTTGTGATACACACTTTTTTTTTTGCATGCATTAATCTCATTCCTAATCCATTTTCTGCCCCAAATAATCTACTTTAAAATTCTAATTCCTCCTTTTCTCCTACCCCTAACTCAAGTATTTTATGGACGAGCCATGAGAATCACTGGGGAAACAAGTCTGCATGGAGAGATGGCCCCTCTTGGGCTCCCTTTTGGGCAGCATCCACCTGCCCACAAGGAGTCCTGCACATGTGCATCAGCCCAGAGCTGACAACTCTCACATCATTTCACCCAGCTCATCCTCTGGACACGCTCCAGTTGGTCAAGGCCCCTCTTAAAGTCGTGCTAGGGTGTGCATGCATGCACGTGCGTGCTCAGTTGTGTCCGACTCTTTGCGACCCCATGGACTGTAGCCCTGCCAGTTTCCTCTGTCCATGGGATTTTCCAGACAAGAATACTGGAATGCGTTGCTGTGCCCTCTTCCAGGGGATCTTCCCAACCCAGGGATTGAACATGTGTCTCTTGCATTGCAGGCAGATTCTTTACCACTATGCCACCTGGGAAGCCCATACAGATAGGTAATCCAGACATGGTTTACTGGCACCTTGAGCAGCGTTGTTCCAAGAGCACCAGCACCGCTTGGACTGCTGTTTAAAGTACAGATTCCTGAGTCCACTCTATAGAGAGTGAATGAGAATCTCTTGGGCTAAAAGTCCAGGGATTGGGCATTTAAAATTACCCCCATCCCCCACAGTGATTCTGTGTATATTAATGTCAGGGAAACGTTCTTCAAAGAAAATGATCCAAGATTGATGCGAACAGACTTAAAGACTTGTTTGGTCCCATCTGGTCTCGACAATCCTTTGAAATTGTGTTTGCCTGTATTTGAATCCAACTCACTATCGTCAGGTTGTCTGTTTATCACTTGCCGTGACTTTTGAGATATTGACCTGTATCTGTGTGTGTGCATGTGTGTGCCCTTTGTACTGCTGGGACCCAGGAGGGTGGAATTCAGTCCTCCAGCTCGGAGATGCCTAAGACAAGGTCCTGGGTAACAACTTCAGCTTCTGCTGTGTCTCCTATTCCTAGTGAGAGTCGTAAACGTGGTTTGATGATGAAGGTGCTGATAGCGAAGGTGACAGGTTCTGGTGGAGAAACAGCACCAAGGCGGTCGGACATTGACCCCAGGCAGCTGAACCCACAGCAAGCTTAAGAAAAGAGAGAGGAGTGGTGAGAAATAAGGGGTCCTGGCATCAGACGGTCTTGGGTTCAGACTCTGCCCCTCCACTTCGTGGCTGTGAGCCAGTAGTAATGACAATAACAATAAAAGCAGCCAACACACGCAGCATTCACTGAGTGTCAGGTGCTTGTCTGTGTGTTAGACATCCAGTCTCACAACTCCACGAGGGTGACCTATTGGATCATCTGTGTGTCATAAGTGGGGAGAGCAAGGCACAGAGGTGCCAACTGTTGTCTAACGTCCCACAGCCAGATGGTGGTAGGGGTGGGATTTGAACCAGACCACCTGCCCCCAGAGCCTGGCACTCAGTCACGCCTGCTCCTCTTTCCTCTTAGAGAGGCATACCTCCTTCTGCTTGGTTATGCGGTTCTCCAGATCTTGGACCTTTTTCTTTTCCTTCTCTATGGCCTCCTTTGCTTTGTTTTTCTCGTAGGCGATGCTGCTCTCGGAAATCTGGAAGTCAACAACAAGTGTTCTGAGGATGTGTGCACGAGAAAGGAAGGGAAGTGATACCTAAGGGGAAAGCTAGCATTAGTAATAGTTGACACCTGTGAGTCAGGGCTGGGGAGCTAGAGCTCAAGGAACAGGATGTCCGTAGGAGAGAGATATGAGAACCGGAAGTCAAGTCGTGGTTAGTTAGCTATGTCCTCAACAGAGAGAGTTATTTGTCATTCAGAGTTTCTGGGCTGGTGTGCAGGAAGTGACAGGCTGGTGAGTGCTTAGGTCAAAGTGTCTGACACTGAGCCACTGACTAAGCTACTAAACGGACAGATGATGGCACCAATGTGGTCCCTTGTTGGTACCTGGCTTCTTGGGAGGTGGGGCAAGTGAGGCCAAGGGCAGGGGTTGGGGTGGGAGGATGCCTCCTTTTCCAGTAGGTCTGATGTCTGTGGCTTCAAAGGACACTTGCGGTCTCTCTCCAACCTATGAAGGCTTGGGTCTAAAAACCGAAGTCCAAGACAGTTTGCTGCAGAGAACATTTACCCCATAGATCCTGAGATGGGGAGGGGGTTGGAACCCAGCCTCACCTACACAAGCTCCAGGAGGGACACAGCCAGAGTGGGGTCAAGAAACTATTTGCAGCTGTTGAAACTCTTGCAGTGATGCCTCCCACATAAATATAATGTTCACAAGAACATTTTAATGAAATAAATTATTTATCTATGCGTAAACAAAAGACTGGAAAGAAATGTACCAGAATGTAAATAATGGCTATTTTGGGGGAATTGAGATTATGGTCATTTATATTTTCTTCTTTTCAGTGGTCTGGATCTTCTAAATTTTCTTTAGTGAATGTGCATTATCGGGTAAAAAGGGAAAACTATTGAAAACTGTTATGCTTTGGGGATGGGTGGTCCTGGAGAAAAGACAATCTTCCCGACAACCCTGTGGTTCCAGCATCATGCCCTTGGCCCCCATCCCCATTGCCCTGCGCTGCACACAGGCCTTGCCGCTACACCTGGGCTCTGACTCTCCTCCCTGCATGGGTTTGGCATTTTCCCACTGCCAAGTCTGCCTGAGACAGTCCAGCCCCCACCCTGCCAGGCTGCGTCCTGCCTGATGTAAGAGGCCACTGCATGCTCCGTGGGAGGGCGTGCTTCCTTATTTTGTGCCACTTGGAAAATTACAAATGAAAATGATAATGACGAGGCTGCCTGCTCTGTAAACGCTGCACACGAGGGCCTGCACCGCGTACTGAATGCAACCCCCCTCCACCCCGGTGGCATCTGCCTTCCATTTTGCAGGTGAGGACGTGGAGGCTGTAAATGAGGCAGTGGGAGGATGAGTAATGGGGCAAGGTCGCACCACCGGGGGCCAGTTCAGACGCCAGTGCCCCGCCCCAGTCATTCTGCCACCTGGCGTCTGGACCTTGCCTGAGCTGTCCTCCTGATTGAAGCCCCACCTGACCTGCAGGCAGGAGATGCGCCTGTGTGTTCATACGTAGGCTGGCACAGAGTCTGCCACCCTGCTCAGCAGGGGCGCATGCTATAAAACACCCTTAGCCCACCTGTATAAGGGAGGCCTGGGGGATGCCACTGACCACAGTCTGGGTTCTACCGCTTAACAAGGCTTGCTCGGTGTCGGTGCTCCCTCACCCTGTGTGGACTCTGACCTCACTTCCCTGCCAAGGTCTCTGCTTGACTGTCCCGCCCCCATACCCCGCCATGCACACCATCCTCCCCACTCGATCTGGACTCTGAGCTCACCTGGGCAGGTGTTTCACAATGAATGCACTGACTCCTCGCAGCAAATCTCTGTCACTGCACCCACATTACAGATGAGGGCACAGAGAGGGGTTTGCTCGGGGTCACACAACATGGTAGGGCAGAGCTGCAGCTGGAACTGGAATCCACTCGTTTGGCCCACACAGCTCTCCTGCTACGCCTCACTTTGCCCCCGACTCTGTGGCTCCCTCTGGCTTTCCCGCCCTGATCCCTCCCCTTTGGTTTCCATCCTGTTCCAGTGTGATTTCATTCTTCCCGCCCTGCCCCCATGCCCCTGGCTAAGTCAGGCGCCCTCCTTTGCACTTGGGACCCCTGACCTGGGGCATTCTCTTCCCTCGATGTCCCTGTAGTGTTCTCTGCCCTCCAGGTCTCACTCAATGTCACCAAATACGAGAGGCCCTCCCTGCCTGTGGGCCACTCTCTAACTCATGCTGGTTTTGTACAGCCTGTGGCTCTGGGGTCACCTGGGCGTTTGTTTACATGGCTGTCTGCCCTCCGTCCTGGAGCGGAGGGCCCATGAGGATATGGCCGTGGCCCGTCTAGGGCTCTGCAGTACCCCCGACACCCAGCAGGGCCTGGCACACAGCAGGTACACAGAGCCCGTTTGACTTTCAGGGTGTGACTCGGGCATTCATCCCTCCTCTCGGCCTTGGGGGTGTGCCTTCACGGTGGCTCCAGGCAGGTGAGGCTGGTGAGCCCAGTTCCCAGGCTTGTAGGGGTGGATGTCACCAGCTCTGCCCTGGCCTGGTGCTTGGACTCCCCTCCCCCCTCCCATGTCACTCTCCTCCAGGGTGTACTTCTCATTTGTTCCAGGAGGCCCTGACCCCTGGCACTTATTTGATGTGACTGCCGTGTGAGCTGGTCATGTACCTGTCTACCCCATCTTCCTCTGCAACGTTTGTCTCTACACCTGACCATCAGCCCAGGGAAGGTCGACTTGGGAGTCTCTGAAACTAGGAGGCTGGAGCCAGGAGGGTGCTCTTCTGCTGTGCCCACTCTCGGCTGCCTCTTAAATACCTTTCAGTGATGAGGAGGAAGAGGATGCTGGCTGAAGGACTGACCCAGACTCCAACCAGGGGTCTCCCCTGGAGGGCGTCTCTCCTCCCCAGGCAGTTGACCAGCAGGGCTTATGGAGATGGTCCTCTGTGGGTGAGGGCAGGTCTAAGCACTTAATATACACTGTGCTGTGTGCACTAAGTCGTTTCAGTCATGTCTGACTCTTTGCAATCCCGTGGACTGTAGCCCATCAGCCTCCTCTGTCCAAGGGATTCTCCAGGAATACTGGAGTGGATTGCCATGGCTTTCTCCAGGGATGTTCCCGACCCAAGGATTGAACCTGCATCTTTATCACCACTTCGGAAGCCCCGATGAACACTAACTGGTTTAATCTCATGATGCAGGGGTAGTTAGCCTCCCCAGGTTATGGATGATGAAACTGGTCCAGGAGGTGAAGTGGTCTGCCTTAGGGTCATACAGCTGGTGAGTCCTGTGATGTGACATTGGCCACTCTGATCAGAGGCACTGCTTTCCATCAGCCTGCTTTACCACCTGCTCTAATCCGGGTACCAAAACACAGTCTCGCATCTGGTCCTGAAGCTGCTTCCAAGGGCTTTCAGCTGCTACCACCCACTTCCTCTCTCTGTTCCCCATACCTCCTTCTGCTGTGTTAAGTGGTTCTCCAGATCTTGCACTTTCCTCTTTTCTGTCTCTAAGGCTTCCTTTGCTTTTCTTTTCTCATGGGCCATGCTGCTCTCCAAAACCTGAAAATCAATGACCAGTCTTTTTGGTTGCCTGCACATTTAGCGGGGGAAATTGCTAGTAAGCATGATACCAATAATAACAACAGTAGCTCAAATGTTGGGTCTGGTCTTATGTGCTAGGACCCAAGGCCAGTGCTCCTCACCCAGTTTATTCTCATAGCATCCTCATCCATAGAGAAGTTGTGTCCCCATTTTATAGGTGAGGAAACTAAAGAGGGGAAAGTTACTGAGGGCCCAGGGGTCCTGCAGTTTGTTAGTGGAGAGGCCAGGACTGAGCCCTGCATATTGTTTGTGTGCAGAGGCCCCGGCAGGGAGCCAGTGAGGAAAGGTGACCAAGCTTGCCTTATTACAGAGTCTGAGTTCTTATCATTGTGCCAGGCAGCCTCTCTGATAAGAAGAAGAATCTCATTAATAATGGAATTTCCCATTATTGAAAAAAATCTCTGAAATAGAATCAGGTTTCTAGAGGAGGGCAGTGTATTGAATTAATGAGCCACACATACCAATTTCTGGAAGGGGAGGGGACCAACCTCACAAGGGAAGCTTTGAGAGGATGGGAGGGCTGTGGTTAGTATTTAGTGCCCATAATCAGGGATTTTTTTATCCAGGAAACAACTTGCTGATGAGCCGTTCAGTTAAGTGGTTTATGCAAATTGTAGAAGGATAGAAGCTGCTGGCAAAGCCCCTGTTTCTAGTCACTGCAATAAAGGGCATCTCAACTCTCAAATAGGTTATTATTATTATTACTTTTTTATATGCACCAAACTTAAAGTCTTTATTGAATTTGTTGCAATATTGCTTCTGTTTTATGTTTTGGTTTTTTGGCTGCAAGGCATGTGGGGTCTTAGCTCCCCAACCAGAGGTCAAACCCACCCCTCTGGCATTGGAAGACAAAATCTTAATCACTGGACTACCAGGGGAGTCCCTGGAATGGGTTGTATTTTAAACACCAGCTTGGCTGTCAGATGTCTGGAAGTTGGAACGTGGTTTCCATTACAGCTGGTGGTTAGGGTCCTAGATTAGCCTGCAACAATATTCAATCCATAATATGGATGAAATAGTAGTGGAAAGCAGTTTAAGAAACTCCCAACACTCAGCGGTTCCAATACCAGCCCTCAATGAAGCAGAAGAACAGTAACATCATGGGAGCTCCGCGTTTATTTTGAAGTTTGAGGCGGGTTTAGGGGTAAGACATTTTGCTGCCCCATTGCATCTGATCTCACATCGACACTCAGGACTTTGCTATGCAGCCGAGCTGGGCACCACAGGGAAGGCTGTCCTTGCAGAACTCATGCCAAAGTTCTGTCCCCCTTGGACGCTTTGCTCCCACACTCCTGGGCAGGTCATGGGAATTAACCTTTAAAGTTTCCTCCAAACCAGCCTTGTGACCTAGTGATTCTGTTGTTCTTAGAGATTTGTCTGACAGTGTGGTACATGCATGCGTGCAATATGTTTAGTTGTGCGTGACTCTTTGTGGCCCCATAGATTGCAGCCTGCCAGGCTCCTCTGTCCATAGGATTCTCCAGGCAAGAATACCGGAGTGGGTTGCCATGCCCTCCTCCAGGGCATCTTCCCGACCAGTGATGGAATCTGTGTCTCTTGCATTGGCAGGCGGGGTCTTTATCACTAGTGCCACCTGGGAAACCCCTGACAGTGTGGAGGAAGGTCTAATGGAAAGAAAAATCACATGACCATCTGAGGTTGATCAAAGCCCATGTCTGGGATTCTGATCTCTTATTTCCCAATAAGAAGCCATGAAGAGGTCCTGCTGGGAGGAGTGGTCTGATGTTGTCCAAGGTGTGGGTGACCTGGTCACAACTCCTATTGCTTCGGGGCTGTCTACCATCAGCCTGTTCTTAAATTTCCCTTCTGAAGTGCCCCATGACCTCAAGATCGCTCAGTTCAAGGGGCTTCCCCATCCCTGTGCAGATGACCTCTCAGTGACATTTCACCCCAGCGAACGCTTGGGAGACCCTCCTCTTCCTCATCACCCCTGGAGAAATAACTCAGGACCAGGCACTGACACTGTTTACACAGGCCCGCAGAGCACATCTGTACTGGAGACCTGAGTGAAACCCAACATGTAAACACCTCCCCTCCCTGGATAGGATCAAACTGCATGAGCTCTGCTCACCAGGTTCCTCACTTCTCCCTTCCTGGGTGGCGGGCAAGGACTTCACTCTGAGAGGTAGGGATGTGGTGGAGGGTTAGTACAGTAAGTGCCTAAACAGCACTGGAAGTGCAGTGATGGTATTAATAGCCACCATTCATTGAGTGATGATTCTGGGTCAAACGCTTCACTGTACATGATCTCACCATTATCTCACAGCCATCCTTTAAAGAAGGTAGGTACTGAGCCAGCAAGCAGCCCAGCCGGAATCTGAACCCATGTCTCATCCGGATGCAAAGCCTCACTCTTCACCCCTTTACACTGTCCAAGGATTGAAGCACAAATGAGAACATCTAATAAAAATAACCCAAGGATCTGAGGGTGACCCAAGGTAAGTACATTCAAGTGAACAATGTAATAGGGCTTTCCCCAAAGCTAGTTTGGACACATAAGCAGAAATACATCTTCGACTAGGGAGAGGACACTTCTGCTCTAGGTCACTGCATGCTGGAGAACTGTGTTCAGTTTTGGCTACAAACAGTTTAGGAAGAAAACAGATGATGGGCTGCAAACCCAGACACCTGTAGGGGCTCAACAGTTACCTGAAATGAAATGAGTTGTGTTGAATGCAATAGGGAATGGTGGGGACTGTGGCAAACATCTCCAGTCCATTTCTGCCGCAAGTGGAAAGGAGGGCCAGATTTCCCGACTTTTCAAGAGAGGATGGGAATCTGCATTTGTTAGTAAATTTTATGAATTCAAGATAAAACACTTCAGGACCAAGCATAACACGTCCATGGGCCCTTTTCAGCCAGTGAGCTGCTAATCTGTCACAGGTTAGAGCAGCTCAGAGGAGGGGACCAAGGCCCGGCTCCAGGCCTGTGAAGGGCATTTGTGTCTGGAGAGGAGCCGGTGCCTCTATTCTTATGCATCTAAAAGGTTATTCTGTGGAAGAGAAAGCAGACAGGTCTTGCAGGAGCCTCCACCCAGACAGGTGGGTGGAGGGCTGAAACCCTTTCTGAGACAGAATGTCAGTCAACTCAATCTAAAGGAAGAATTTTCTGCCAGTCCAAGGCATCAACACTGGGATGGACTTCCCTGGGCTATAGAAAATTTCTTGGTGGTAGAGATGAAGGGTGGGCATTTTAGGATGTTGGAGGATTCACATAGCCCTAAAGTCCCAGGATTCTGAAATTCCTCCATTTTTAGGATTCAGGATGTAGTCTCCATGCAGAAAACACTCATGTTATCCTGATGTGTCCCCTAAGACTGTATTTTATGACATTTACAATTTTTGTGTAAATTGTAAGTGCAAGGTTACAACTCTAGGGTCCTCTCCTAGAGTCCCGCCTGCTTCTTCCCAAGGTAGCTGAGCTCCCCCATGGACAAATCCCTCTAGGAAACTCCGCCATGCTTGATTCCCCATCAGCTGTGGTTCGAAACTTACTTCCACGTGGCCCTCAAGCTGGGTCTGGGTTCCAGCCGCCTATCTCCCCGAGCTGCGTACCTCCTTCTGGTGGGTTAAGCGGTTCTCCAGTTCTTGGACTTTGCTCTGTTCTTCTTCTAATGCTTCCTTTGCTCTGCTTTTCTCCTGAGAAATGCTCTCCTCCAAAGCCTGAAAACCAGTGACCAGACAGAATTACAACGGCAGGAATCTGGATTCCGCCAGGCACTGCATGGGCAGGTGGACTCTTTACTACTCACAGCATCCCCACGGGGAGACTGTGGGCAGCTGAGAGCCTGGCAGCTGGGGTGGGCAGGCCCAGGTGAGTGTCCCAGGCGAGTCCGTCTGGCCGCCTGACCTTGACCTGGGCTCAAGCCGGCTCTGCCTCCCTGAGCTCATACCTTCTTCTGGCGGGTTAAGCGGTTCTCCAGTTCTTGGGCTCTCTTCTGTTCTTCTTCTAATGCTTCTTTCGCTCTGTTTTTCTCTTGAGTAATGCTTTCCTCCAAAGCCTGAAAGTCATGACTGTTGTTTAATACCATGGTAAGAATCTGGACTCCGGGCCAGGCACTTCAGAGATTAACTCTTTCACATCTCACAACAAACCCATGGAAAACTGTGGACAGTATTTCTAGGGTCTAAGAGCATGGGGTCTCGAGTTGGCAGCGTCAGATTAGAGCCTGTGGCTGATTCTTCCTAGAGGTATAGTCTTGGGCAAGTGAGAAGCTTTAGAAACCTCAGTTTCCCCATCTGTACAATGGGGACAGTAAGAGTGCTTCCTGCCTTGGGTTGATAGGAGGGGCAGAAGAGATGATGAACATGAAATGCTTGGAACATGATGATCATTCACTAGTAAAGATCAATCATTTCTTCTGTCATTTCCACTTTGTTGAAGGAGAAAATAGGCTTAGAGAGATTAGGAATCTGTTCAGTTTACCAATAAATTGCATCAATGGGAAATTGAACCCTGGTCCCTTTGATTCTAGAACCAGTAGTTGGCAAGCTACGGCAGATGGGCCAAATGTGGCCCACTGTCTGCTTTTTTTTTGTAAATAAAGTTTTATTGGAACGCCACCATGCTCATCGTGGGTTGACTTGGCACTGCATCCACAGAGCTGAGAAATCAGGACAAAGACATGACCTGCACAACTGAAAATAGATACTGTGTGGCTCTTCATGGGAAAAGTTTGCTGACCCCTGATCTAAACCATCAGTGTGTGTGTAACTCAGGGCAGTGTTGTTAACAGATCATAGTAATCATAAAAAAAGAATGATAGCTTCATAAGTTAGCCACTCAGTCGTGTCTGACTCTTTGCAACCCCATGTACTGTAGCCAGGCTCCTCTGTCCATGGAATTCTCCAGGCAGGAATACTGGAGTGGGTAGCCATTCCCTTCTCCAAGGCACCTTTCTGACCCAGGGATCGAACCCCGGTCTCCTGCATTGCAGGCAGATTCTTTAATGTCTGAGCCACCACAGAAACTCTTTAACGGAACCTAGAATTTCTTACCATTGAAACAGAGTCCTAAGACAAGCCAGGATTTGTGAGGAGGAGCTTAATTAATTAATTTTGACACACATATTTTTAGAAAGGGTGGGGGGTGACAGAGCCATGTTCATTTAAAATCGGGGCACCCACCACTCAAGCCTGTGATGGTGCTTTTGGATGAGTCTCTGGGGTCAAGCCAATCAATGTAAGTGTCTGGGGAAGAATGACCCTCAATGGGACAGTAGTGGACATGAGCAACTGTACTGTCTGTCTGTGGGTCCCTGGCTTTGTGTTCCCCTCTGCAAGGGGTGGTGTGCCCCCTGAAGTTTGGTGTGATTAAAGGGGGGTTGATGTTAAACCTTGAAACCCTGTGTCTGTTGGAATCAATGGGCATCTGGAGGGCCCAGGCTGGTGCCCAAGGTGGTGGTGAACAGGCTGGGGTTATAATACTGTACATTCACAGTGGAAAACAGTCAAACCAAAATTAAAACTAAAATAAGACATTTGGGAAGGGAGAAATTAAACAAAGAAGAGAGAGGAAACAGGTGGAGAGTTCTGTGAAGGTTTTGAAGATTTTTACGTTCTTTCTGGTTTTATTTCCCTCTCTATAGAATGGCACTTTTTTTTTTTCATTCTTCTATATCTAATTGCCCTTCTGAAGGGACCTGTCTTGATTTAAGGCTGTTGTTTATAGTACCTGTATGGGGCTCACAGGTGATTTTGGTCAGGTTGTTCTTCCTTTTTAATCTTTTATTTCACAAAAGGCAGAGAAAGAGGCAAAGAGGAGAAGAAGCAGTAGGGCATGAATTAGAGGACGAGATGAAACCGGCAGAGGTCTCTGCCTCTTGGAGAGGTCTGGAGAGTGGGGGTGTCTGACAGAGAAGGAGGGTCCCAGCAGGAAGTCACCAAGCTGCTCCTGGTGGAGATGGAGGAACTGGCAGTTCTGGTCCTTTTTGGTGGAAGAAAGGAGGTGCTGGGGGAGAGTTGGGGTTCAGTGGATCTGGTGCCACTGTTTTGAGGTGGGTGGGAGATGCTCTCTGCGGTGGCTGCACATGGGAACCACCAGGGAGAGCTTACCAATCCCAGGGCCTGAGCTGCATCCTCACCCCAGCTAGATCAGAAGTTGGGGGTGGGCGGAGGGGGAGGGGTGCAAGGCCTTAGCATTTTTTTAATCTCTTGAATGACAGAAGTGCAGCCAAAGTCATGAACCAGTGATCCAGGGTGATGGTGACTGAGGTAGTTAAATTCATGGTGGGTCCCTGAATATATAAAATGGCCAACTCGGGACTTCCCTGGTGGTCCAGTGGTTAAGAATCCTCCTTGCAATGCAGAGGACATCGGTTTGAACCCTGGTCCGGGAATTAAGATCCTGCATGCTGGGGAGCAACTAAGCCCACAAGTCACAACTACTGGAGCCCGTGCATCACATCTAGAGAGTCCATTTGCTGCAGTGAAAAATCCTGCAAGATGCAATGAAGAGCCTGTGTGCTGCAACTAAGAAGTGACACAGCCAAATATATAAATAAATATTTTTTAAAAAAGACGGTGAACTCAAGGACGAGGAGAATTGGCCCATTAACTGCAGTTTCTGGCCTTCTCCTGAGATTCTGATTCAGTGGGGCTGGAGTAGGGCCCAAGAATCTGTATTTTCAACCAGCTTCCAGGTGGTTCTTATCTGCCAGCTTGGGTAAAACCTTCGTCTGAGACTCTGTCGCTGAACATGTGTCTGCAGAGCTGTGCCATCAGCACCAGCTGGGAGCTTGTTAGAAACGCAAAGTCCCAGGTTCCACCCCAGACGGGCTGAGTCCGAATCTGCCTTTTCACAACATCCCCAGGTGATTCATGGGCACCTCTGAGTTGAGAGGCACTGCTGGTAGCATCCTCTAATTGGTCATTTTCTAGAAAAGTAAGTAGCAATTTTGGCCATTCTATTCCCTTGATCTGCATAAAGAGAAAGCAAAACACTGAAATAACACTGGCTGGTCTTGCACATACTTAGAAACACTCTGTCGGTCATAAACCAGGACTTGTAGTAATGCCTCAGATCTGTAAAATCAGCTGCAGTGTATAAACCAATGAAGTATTGTTTCTAGAAATTTCAATAACTGTGCCTACTCAAGTTGATCTTGCTCTGAGTTTTAAGATCCAAGCTTCATATTAATTCCTCCAACATTATTCACCCTTTTTATTTTTTAAAAAAAAAATGCCTATTTGTTTGACTGCACCGAGTCTTAGTTGCAGCACATAGGATCTTCGATTTTCATTGTGGCATGTAGGACCTTCAGTTGGGGCTTGCAGGATGTGTCTCCCTGACCAGGGATCGAACCCAGGCCCTCTGCATTGAGAGCGTGGGGTCTTAGCCACTGAGCTACCAGAGAAGTCTCCATTCACCCTCTTAAATTAATTTAGTTCCATGGTATCCATCAAGATTGCTGCTGAAGTTTCTCCTCTGAACGCGCGCCCTCAGTTTTTTATGGGAAAGTTCATCTCTCCTTTTCCAGCATGAAAGGGAAGGACAGGGACCTCCTTACCGCCTTCTCTTCCGTCAGCCACTTGACTCGGGCTTTCAGCTTCTCCTCCTGCTGTAGCCTTTCCTCACTTAGCTTCTCCTTCTCTGCCAGGTGCTCCCGCAGCTTTTCTTGCATCAAAGACTGCTGAGTTTCCTGAGAACTGCTGATCTTGATCTGAAGGGAGAAGGGAGATTGTAGCTGATTAGTCCTGTTCGGGAATAATGCAGGAGTCATTTCCACTACCTTTGTGGGAGGGACAAAAGTTCCCAAAACTTGCTGAAAAATGCAGGAAAACTATGCTTAGCCTAGTAACTAGGCTAACTAGTACTACTAGTACTACTAGTAACTAGTAGGAAAGCAACAGAGCATCATAGGTAAGAGTTCAGACTCTAGATCTAGACAGACTCTCAGCCATAATTCTTTCTAGATGCTTTTTCATTTAGAACTTACTATGAATATATACCTCTTAGTGTTACCAGGACTATAAGAGAAAATGTTGGAAGGCTTTTACCACAGTGCTTAGCATGTTGTAGGTGCTCAGTAAATGGTAGTTAGACTTATTCATTATTATTTGCTAAGTGTAAGAGAAAAAGCAGTGAGCTAGGGCCAGAAGGCCTGGACTTTTGTCTTGATTCTTCCACCGACTAGGTGACATTGAGATAGTTACCTAAGCCTCTGAACGCCACTGTCCATATCTGTAAAATAAGGAGAATGGACTAGATCGGGGTTGGCAAACTACTGTCTGCAGGCCAAATCTGGACCACTGTCTATTTTTATAAATAAAGTTTTATGGGAACAGAGCATGCTTGCCACACCCATTCATTTACGCAATTGTCTATGGTTGTCTTTGTTCTGTGGCAGCAGAGTCAGATAGGTGTGACAGAGACTATGTGTCCTGAAATATTTATAGGCCCTTTACAGAATATTCTGGCCCTTTACAGAAAAATTTGCTTACCCCTGGAATAGATGGTCTTTGTGGTGGATGGTTGCGGTGGTCCCACCATTTCACCCTTCCTCTATTCAAACCTTTGGTTACGTAACTTGTAGTGCCTGCCCATATCCTGCCCCCTGACACTGAACTCAGTCATGTGACTTGCTCTGGCCAATGGGATGTTGGCAGACATAACACAAGGGCCTGACTTCTCTTCCTGATCTCTGCTTCCTCTGTTAGTGCCATGAGAACATGCTCAGGCCAGCCTGCTGGAGTATCAGAGACACGTGGAACAGAGCACAGCTGCTCCAGCTGAGGCCAGCCTAGATCAGTCAAGAGCCAGCCAACACCCAGGCATGTGAGTAAGTCCATCCAAGGCCAGTGGATTCACCTCGCAACTGGCCCCAGACATGTGAGCAGTGGACAGTAACGGTGGAATACTGATATTGTTTATTATACAGTATTAATATGACAATAGCTATCAGAGCAATACAATCCCTGAGGATTATTTTGCCTCTAAAATATTGACATTATGTAACTTTTGGTACATCTGCTCTCTGTACTGTGGTACTTCTTCCACTGCATTTAATAAATACAATTTTTAAGATCTAAAACGTCAAATTTTAAGATCTAAAATTGTCTGGGTTTGGACAGAGGAAAACAAGTCTCCTTGCCCTCCTGGGAGGTCTCAGCCACCCCATCTGAATCATGTGGAGTGCAAATGGAGATATCATATCACCTTTTGGAGGATGTGCGCTGACTACCTAATAGAGGAACAACAGAGCTAAGATGCTCAGTGCCATGAAAATTTCAAGAAGGAGCTGAAATGAACTTTTGGAGCTCAAAGATTACCTGAAGTTCCTGGGTCCGGCTTGTAATTTTTTTATAATGTTCCAGAAGGTATTTCAGATACAAAGACAATCCTTAAAAAGAGAAGCAAGAAGAAGGTAAATATCAAGTCAATTCACCTTCTTTGTTTTCTGAATAATGTCTTCACAGGGCTTGCCAACAGGAGGATGAGGGCAATGCTACTCTCTCATCAAGATAACACAAGCTGCCATCCATCTTGTGTTTTTTTAAATGGTTGATCAGCTTCAGTTGGGCTCAAATCCAACTTTCTTTTTGGAGGTGGACAATAAAAACCATCCACAGAACCCTTGTTGACTAAGAGTCCACTGTGTACAAAACTATGAGCTGAGCTAGGGGGATGATATGAAGCCATTCCTCAAGGGACTTAGGTTCAGTCTGAGAGAACAGGTCTAAGTGCCTGACAGGAAACAGGCAGTGACCTTGGGTTGTGTGGAAGTGACCGCGGAAAGAGTGGGGAAGTGTGAGGGTCCCAGAGGAGGAGCAATCATTTACCCAGAGTGATTACTGCTCAGCTGAGGATCCACTGGGCGTGGGCACTGGCATGTATTCAGAGTTGGAGGGGAGGACATTTCAGAATGGAAGATGGGGATGAATGGTGCCCCGCAAGAATAAAAGGATATTAGCATGTAGTTTCTTAACGACATCACAGTGAGTTGATGGTGACATTCAGAGGAACTTGATTACAGGCTTATGGGTAGACTAATCTGTGGTCTGGTACAAAAACGGAGAGGTTTTTTATTCTGGGTGTCAAGGTTTTATTATGTTCTGGGTATGAAGAACATTTGATAGATATTTTTTAACTATGGGGTTTATTTTTCTAAATATGGGTTGATCAAGTAGTCAGTTGGTTGGTGATGCCCTTAAATGAAAGTTTACATTTTCCCAGTGTGAACCTTAAAAGGTCAGAGAAGTACGTTCATTTATTAAATTCTCTGTTGGGAGAACAAAGCTTCTCGTCCGACATTTTATTTCTGTTTGAGTTTTCAAAAGGTCTTGATCAGTGGTTGTGCCTTGGCTAGAATTTGTGGGACTTTGGTTGCTATACAGTTATTTACATACACGGCATTTACAAAATCTGAAGCATCATAAATAAAATTATTTATTTAATCATAAAAAATTGATGCCCCCCCCAACACCCAAAGATTTCCAGGTCCTAATCCTGAGAGCCCATGGGCATTACCTGACAGGGCAGATAGAGCTTTGCGGATTTGAGGAAGTTGAGGATCTTGAGATGGAGGGCTTATCCTGGATTGTCTGTGTGGGTCCAATATAGGCACAGGGGTTCTTGCAAGAAGTGGACAGAGGGAGTTTGACTACAGACAGAGGAGAAGGTGATGTGACAGAAGCAGAGAGAGCGCTGAAGATACTCCCTTGCTGGCTTTGGAGATAGAGGAAGGGGCCATGAGCCATGGAATGCAAGGGATAAAGGAGTAAAGACTGGAAAAGGTGAGGAATCAGATTTTTTTCCTACACCCTCTGGAAGAGACTGGCCCCTTGACTTTAGCTTAGTGAAACTAATTTTGGACTTTAGGCCCCAGAACTGTAAAAGAATAAATATGAGTTGTGTTAATATAAGCCACAGAGCTTGTGATAATTTGTTGTGACAGCCACGTGTGCATGCATGCTAAGCCACTTCAGTTGTGTCCAACTCTGCAACCCAATGGACCATAGCCTGCCAGATCCTCTGTCCATGGGATTCTCCAGGTAAGAATACTGGAGTGGGTTGCCATGCCCTCCTCCAGGGGATCTTCTCGACCCAGGGATCGGACCTGTCTCTCTTTTATCTCCTGCACTGGCAGGCAGGTTCTTTACCACTAGTGCCACCTGGGAAGCCCATGACAGTCACAGGAAACTAATATCGGGGGTGAAGGGAGGAGGCAGGGTGAGGGGTAGGGAATGCAGAGCATGTTCTGGAAGAGGGTTAGTTGGGGTTGAGGTTAGTTGGGGTGGAGTGGATGATGGGGAGGGGAGGAGTAGAGGGAAGAGTTGGGATGGAGGCTGAGGTCAATTTGTGGCCAGCCTAGGACAGTAGCCTAAAGACTGTAAACCTGACCTAAATTCATGAGTGTGGCCTGTGTGCCCAGCTCTCTGCTAAGCAATCAGTGATCACCCCACTGTATTGTCTGACCATTGCCCCACTTTACAGATTAGGCAGGGGGGATCTGAGACATGTGGCTGCTGGATGCTGGCAAACAACCTAACCAGGGTTTGGCTGCACAGCAGTCGGAATCCAGGGTCTGAGTCACTGCTATTTCATCTGCTGATGGAGCAGTGAATTGGCTTAATGAACTGTAATTTTTTTTTCCAGAAAAATAACAGATGAATTAGAGAGGAAGGAGCCAGTAGATTTTCTTAACTATAGCACTACTGACAAATTAAAAGATACTTGCTCCTTGGAAGAAAAGCTATGACCAACCTACACAGCATATTAAAAAGCAGAGACATCACTTTGCTGAGCAGGTCCATATACTCAAAGCTATGGTTTTTCCAGTAGTCATGTACAGATGTGAAAGCTGGACCATACAGAAGGCTGAGTACTGAAGAACTGATGCTTTCCAACTGTAGTGCTGGAGAAGACTCTTGAAAGTACCATGGATTGTAAGGAGATTAAACCAGTCAATCTTAAAGGAAATCAACCCTGAATATTCATTGGAATGACTGATGCTGAAGCTGAAGCTCCAAGACTTTGGCCACCTGATGCAAGGAGTTGACTCATTTGAAAAGACTGAGGGCAGGAGGAGAAGGGGGTGACAGAGGATGAGACGACTGGATGGCATCATCTCTCAATGGATATGAATTTGAGCAAACTCAGGGAGCCAGTGAAGGACAGAGAAGCCTGGTATGCTGCAGTTCATGGGGTCGCAAAGAGTAGGACACGACTTAAGTGACTGAGCAACAGCTGACATGTTGGGCCGGACAATCCTCTGTTGGGGGGCTGTCCTGGGCACTGTAAGAATCTTGAGCAGCATCCTGGCCTCTGGCCTCTGGCTTCCAGGAGCATCTCTCACCCCAGTTGTGATGATCAAAGATGAGAAGGTTTTGAGAAAGAGAACTGGCAGGGGCCGGGGTGGGTAGGACAGAGAGAACAGAGCTGGGGGAGGAAGGTGGGCCTTCAAAGACAGAGTCAGAAGTTAGTGATGAGGACAGAGGGTATAAGGCACTTTAAGGTCTTGGTGGGACAGGAGTGTGAGCTGTAGAAAAGGAGTTAAAGAAGCAGTGATCCTGAAGATGCACCAGCTTGAAGGGCATGTTTGATGACAAAGGAGTGAGATGCAGAGAAAGGCTGGAGATGCTGAAGGAGGAGGTCGTGATTCAAGACTTTGCACACAGGATGGTCTGGGAGGGAGAGAGAAGGGGAGCGGCAGGGAGGGAGGAAGTACGCCTGGAAGAGAACACGGTAGGGGAAGACAGATGGAAGGGGAGGAAAGATGAATGCGGAGGGAGACGGAGGGGAGCTGAACAGGTTCCTATCTGGGCCCTTAACCCGCGACAAGGCCACCTCTGAGAATTTCCAGCTTGGAAGAGTGAGAATAACAGTATAATAATAGCTAGTGTTAGTATTAAGCGCTTGCTGTGTGCCAGGGACCATGCCAAGAGTTTGACATGTGATATTTTCTAATCATTACAAACAACTCAACAAGGAAATTTGCTTGCATTTCTAGGCGCAACACAGACACTCAGCCAGGTTAAGCTGTGGAGCTGGTGAGTGGTAGGATCAGAATTCAGACTTAGGTCTGTTGCTGCCTCTCTCTTTTTAAAAAAAATTATTTTTAATTGTCATTCTCTTCTAAGAGAGACTAGAGGCTGGAGAGTGAAGGGCTGAGATGGCTGATGTGAAGGGTGTGTGATAAGAAGGATACCAAGGTGGCAGAGATGGGTGAGGCTCGCTCCGGCTGTAGAAGAGGGGTTTTCCTCTTTGGGAAGAAACAATTCTTTGTTATATTTCTGGTTACAGAAGTTAGGGAGGACAGAGGAGCCAGCCTGATGTGCTGCTGTCTGTGGGGTTGCAAAGAGTTGGACATGACTCAGCAACTGAACAACAATAGCACAAAAGTTACACTTTCCTATTACACAAATCCAAACAGGACTGAAACCCATAAAGTGAAAATTGGGCCCCCACCCCCGCCGCTGTATCCTCAGTGGCCTGAACACAGTAGGTCTGCAATAAATAGCTATTAAAAGACTGAGTGAAAGTCAAGGCTTATGCAGTCCCATCATACTGGGATAAGACTTTCAACACTTTTTTTTTCTCCAAATTTCTCTTGTGGTCAGATAATGACACTTGAACAAAAAAAGGTGGAGGGGGGAAAGAACACTATGTATATTCTATGACAATCTGCTTTTTTTTTTTTCACTTAAAAATACTGCTTATCTTGGATATCTAAGGAAGAGTGATTTTCTGTGTATTGAGAGAAGTCTTTGTAACCAAGTCTTGCAGAAATAGACACAATCAACTGAGCTTGCAAAGAAAAATGTAAAAAGTCCTTTTTTTCCCTTATCAAAAGAAGCTGAGAAACCACCAGGGAATGAAATTGAAGATCCTCCTTAATGTTTCCTATCTTCCCAAGGACTTAGTGTTTCCTGTCTTCCCAGTGGGACCAGGTAGCTCACTAATCAGATTTTTTTTTTAGATCATGGACTTTAAAAAAATTAAGGTATGGTTGATGTACAGTATTATATGTTTCAGGTATACAACATAGTGGTTCACAACTTTTAAAGATTATATTCCATTTACAGTTATTATAAAAATGTTGGCTATATTCTCTGTGTTGTACAATGTATCCTTGTGGTTTATATTTAATATATAGTAGTTTATACCTTTTAATCCTCTACCCCTGTCTTTTCCTCCCCCTTCTCTCTCCCCACTGGTAACTACTAGTTTGTTCTCTGTATCTCTGAGTCTGTTTCTTCTTTATTACAGTCACTAGTTTTATTTTTTAGATTCCACATATAAGTGACATTATACAGTATTTGTCTTTTTCTATCTGACTAATTTCACTAAGCATAATACCCTCCAAGTCCATCCATGTTATTGCAAATGGTAAAATTTCAT